CAGATTGAACGATTCCATGAACTGTTTAGCCCGTTTCTGCGGCTTGTAAACTTTAAAAACGTTGAGAAAAATGTTGTTTTGACTGCACGTGTGATGATATTTGCAGCACTTGAATAAATTATTTTTGCACGTGGTTTACGTGATTTTAAAGCTCTCTCTCATTTTTTTCATGAATATTATTAATAAGTAATCACATGATTTTTCTCGTGCAATTTGGAATAAATAAGCACTCGTAAATTTTTTCAAAGACCACAAATTGCACTCGCCCAATTTTGTTAGCCTTTGAAAAAATTTACTTGTGCTTATTTATTCCAAATTGCACTCGAAATCATGTGATTACCTGTACAAACAACTATAACAGAACAACTATCAGAAAAATGAAAAAACCATGTGCAATGTCGATGAATAAAAACTAAGAATTATATAACTACGTAAATTAAGACTCTACAAAAACTCCAAAATATTTACAAGAACTCTGAAAAATAATATCATTAAGGAGTGTTTTAAAAACCACTATGGAGTCAACTTCCTTCCGATGGGGTGGCAAATCATTAAAAGCCTGGGCTCCAGTATAAAATTAAGCTTAACTGATTATTTTCCGTGCATAAATAAAGATTTACATACAGTAGAACTCGATAACTCGAACTCGGATAACTACTGCTCGAGAACTCGAACAAAATTTCCTTTCCCTTGATCAAACTTTCACTGAAATTTTCCCCGATAACTCGAATTCCCCGGTAACTCGAACTGTTTTTCGTTTCCCTGTAAACTTCGAGTTACCAACAAACCATGCAAAAACGAGACTTCGAAAAACGCTTCAGAGATTTCGAGATCCTGTTAAAATTTTCCGAGACCCACGTTTTTCGAGGTACCATTCGCCACCCCTACCGTACATGTTTACGCAAAAATGCATAAATTACTAGGTGACGTCGCCAGACTGCATAAAACGCTCGGAATTCGGACGACTCTCCTCCCCGCGACCCCCACGGGTTAGGAAATGGAGACGTATGACATTTTAGACTACCAAATAACTCGCATGAAGACATGCAGCCGATGAAGTAATTGACCTCTATTATTTGGAACGAATCGTCTGTAAAAAATCATACATGAGATATTATAATTCGTAAATATCTTCAAAAAGAGGCACAACGGTATAGACCTTTACTTCGCGGCCAATCGACAAAGAAGGTACAATCTTTCACTTTGAAATCGTTAATCGAAGTTACACCTCTTACTATTTACCCTTTCGTGCGTCCTTTCTACAACATGTCAGCTTAAAGGATTATGGCCGACAGACGAATCACACATAGCCTCTACCTTTTGAAAGTCAAGGCAAATTTTCTTTGTATCATCACAAAGGTACATATGGCAAAGTGTTAAGCAATCGGCATAAATAAGTGATTGGCCAATTGCAAAGCGAGAAAGAAACTTTGCCAATCAGAATCGGAGAAAGAGATCCCTGCAAAACTGCGGGATATCAGATCAAGGTACGGGCAGGTTACGGACTCACCCCTCAACTTCCGCTTTGAATTGAAATTTACATTCAAGTTATTCACTGGGAATTTCTAATCACGTTAAGATAAGATTCCTACTGAAAAGCTATAGCAAAAGTGGTAAACAATTAAATGAAGAGCTATTTCTTAACCTAAACATAAAACAGAAGGCCTTGCTTTCTAGGACGACTTCCGTAACTACTCGGACAGCATTCGCATGATCAAGGGTTGGTTATTGACTAATTTGCGTCTAGTTACATGTTAGAAATGAGTTAAACACAAAATGCATAGAGCAGTGTATAACATACCAGCTTGTGTGTTAAGTCAAGATCAGTGAAGTTTCCATCAATGGTTTCGTTTGTTGGGCGCAATTAGCTTGTACTCCGAGTAAGTGTTGATCGACCAGAACATAACAACTGCAAGAGAATCTCAGTAACATAATGCAAGTGACACGCAGCGTATCAGGTTGCGAGTACTAGTCCCCGTGCGGCCGCGAAAAGCCCAATCCTCTAGCGTGATCTCTAAAGGCCTATTTTTGCCTACGACGTTCGTGCGCGGCTAGCATACGCCAACCATCCAAAAGAGCACAATTTTCACTTACGACATACACACGCGTCGTACGGATGTCGTGGGTCTAATTTACACGACAGATCTGACGTGAAGTCATGACGTATGCTAGTCACGGACAATAGTCGTAAGCAAAAATCGTACCGTCTAAATCGGCCTTAATAAAGGTTTTCGTGCTAGTCTTACCTTCCTTCAAACTCTCCTTCGACTACTTCTGCCTTGCCCCTTAGACACCTAAAAACTTCATCCATCAATATGTATTCGTAACCCATCGCTCCTCTCCTGTTGATGTTTCTGTCGTTTACCAGTGTGATAAGTCGCTTAGAGGGTCCCAAGAGGTTCACTGTGGGGGCATTTCCCTAGCTTGTAGGCATCCAATCGTCAATGAAGAGTCGTGGATGAAAGGACAACAGACGTGCCCTCTTACAATACATTTTAACGTTTGAACAGTAAGCTCGGACGTCAGCATACAAAGGCGCCACTGGCAGCCGCTCTCAGTCCATTTATGAGCTTACTGTACCCACCCAATCCATGATGTGAATGATGTGATGTTTGAAGATTGAACACAATACCGGGGCTTCCCTGCTAGCAGATTTTTGCATCGCCGTGAGAGACCTCTGCTGGCAGGGAATACCGGGGCGTACGTCCCCTACTCTTTTCGAACAGTGGTGTGGGTTCTTTTACGTCCCACAAGAACCAGATAAGTGTAAGTACTGTGAGTCGGGGCCTACGGTTTTTCGTCCTTATCAGAGAAGACTAGAAAGTCTAACCGTTTGCAAATGTCATTACAAAGGCAGCACTTTCTTCTCAGTTATTAAAAGACCCTGAGTGTTGGTCCGGCCGGGGTTTGAACCCGTGACCTCCCGCTCAGCAGACCGGCGCTCTCCCAACTGAGCCAACCAGTCGGCCTATTCTCTGAGTCAGGTCCCCACTCTCCTAACTCACTCAGCTGGGGCCGGTGCAAAGGTGCTCCACGTCCGCATTTTGCTTTCTCAAGGCATACCTACTACCGTGTTAGCCTATCCTCGCTTCCTATACTCTTAATGCCCGACACGCAGGTTACTATCGCGTAAGTGGGTCAAGCATTCAGAAAGGCGACAAATGACGCAAAGCTCCAACTTCGTTTCCAGGGTCCCCTTCGTGGGAAAAACGTCGGGAACTATAGTCTTCGAAAAAATTGACGGAAAATTATGACCCCCCTTCCCACTCCTGGCCTTCGTGTGCTCTAACAACAAAAAAATAGTCTTTATTTCCCTTATTGAGTTTTACAAGACTGCAGTGTGCTGGCCAGCAGGTAACTAGAGCTTATCTTGGCGGGCCAGTCAATTTAAGTGTAGGAAATATTTAATTTTTATTCTTTCATCCTTGCTTTCGGAGGGATGGGATCAATTGTGTGAGATTACAACATTGCGTGACAATTAAGATGGACACTCAATTATCGTGGTAGTGATCGGAATGTACCTTATTCTCCTTAATTTTCGCGGGTTCTTAAATTCGCGATTTTCGCGATTTTAAAAAATTCGCGAACTTAAAGACCCGCGAAAAATAACGACCGCGAACTTTGATCTCGCGAAATTTAATGGACATAGAAAATCATGTATTTGTGTTTTCAAGGGTCCTAAACAATTTTTAACACAAGGTGTTAGTACAAGGAGCTATCATCTATTTTTATCATCTATCTAGCTATTTTTCAAACTAAACTAGTGAGCAGCACTCACTTGTTTTGTTTACTTGTTCACTTGTTTATTACTAATTTTAGTTAAAACCGTGGCCCCAAAGTTTTCTCACGCCTTGCGTAAAAAAATTTCACAGCTGCGCCTGTTCCTTTTCGTAAATCCGGCCAAACCTTACCATCATTATTTTTAGTCATATTATGGCTTAAATACAGGCTTTTAGTACTTGATTGTAAAACTCCCTGAAGAAGTCTACGTTAGTTAGACGAAACGCGTAGGAGAATAAATAAGTTTTACAGCAACAGTTCGCAGAGTGCTGCTCACTAGTTTAGTTTTAAAAATTTTAAAAATTGTCACATCGCTAAAGGGTGGGAAAAGGTTGGCATCGCCCAACTATTAGATGAATCGTTTAGTCTTCCCCCTGAGGATCCATTTGAAGAGACTGAAGGTTCTGTTGAGATCTCCTGGAAAGGACATGTAACGATACTCTCGATACTCGATGACGACTCGGAAGAACAAGAAGACTTTTTTTATTACTGTAAGACTGACTTTTAGAGGAATACGGCTGCCGCTAAGGGACAGCACATTGGTTTTTTTTCAATTGTTGATTAACGTACAATTTTTGTAAAAAAGAAAAAATAAAGTCACTTAATCGTCTATTTCGCGAAATTAAATTCGCTGCAAACACAATTTTTCTCCGCGATCGCGAAATTAAAGATTCGCGAAATGTGCGGAGAAAATTTGCGCTAAATTTAAGTCCCGCGAAAATAAAGGAGAATAAGATATATCATTAAGGGATCAATTTCAATACCTTGTTTTTAAGCATGTTATCTTATTCATTTCAGTTAGTTGGGTTTAGATTTCGTGTGTACCTTTGGCAGTGAACTTTTCCTACTTGGAATAAACCCTTAAAACTGTGAAATCGTGAAGTTTCTGCGTTAGCATTCACGACACAAGACATCAAGATCCCACCTCCTCAATTCAAGACAGGAGAACGGTGTGTTGAGGCCTTCGTGGGCTTCATCCTTGATTTTAGAGAGAAGAGGTTTTTCAATTTGATTCTTTCCAAAGTGAAGGTCAACGAAAATGAAGACTTTTATGATTTGGATAAGCATAGCACAGAACAACCATTTCCCAATAAACACGAAGTTCACGCTGGGATTTTGTTTTAAATCGCGGTATTGTATAATATCCACAAACAAGCCACATTTGGGCTTTAGCCTCTCTCCCATGTAGAGGTCCTTCGAGCAGGCGTTATCTGTCGCTTTCATGTTCCCCACAATACTATTTGTTTTCGCCACAAAATTTTGCATAAGCTGATTTGTTACAAGACAGATTTAAACGTGGGTGGCAAAACGCTCAACATTGCTATTCAACTCGTTTTGCAGCAATGCTTCGAAACAAGTTACACGTTTTTGTTACCCGTTTAACCGGAGCTTAACCTATGTAAATTTTCTATTTAGTGAAAATAATGTAAGATTTTATTCATCGGCAGTAAAGGGCCTTTGAGACACGGGTTTGCCCGTTCATAGACCCGCGACAGCTATGCCACGCCGATGAGCCCCAATAAGGGTGAAACAGCTGTCCAATGGCTGCCACTGCCCGGGTAATATGGCGGTGCATATGCGTGAGGTACTGGCCAGGCCCTGGGTTGGTGTATGTGTGCCCCTTACTTTAAACTTGTCTTATTATGGTATGTGTTTGATAGGGCTTGTTTATCGTACATTTCATTTAGCATTTCCCAGCGGTCTGTATATTTTATAGGAATAGTCCATTTAACTACCACCACCTTTTCGTTCACCGAGCAAAAATACTACCTCATAAATGCAAAAATAGCGACAGAAATAGGACTGAAAACTTTATTCCATAACATAGCCTACAATACAAGTGAAACAAATTATAGAAATGCGTAGAATCGAACATAGCTAATAGTTACTTCAAACGTTTTACAATGTCTTGGCCTCACTTGATGAGAAAACTGCAAGGAGATACGAACGGCATGATTAAAATCATTACATCACGATTTTATTTTGTTTTAAGACTCCAATAGCTACCTCGATACCAATCCAAGTCTTAAAGTCAATCCACTAGATAAAGGTAAAAGTAGTGAGTGTATTGTTCACCAAAGGGCTGAAATCTGTTTTTGCTTGTAGACCACACTTTGAGCTACGATACGAGACGTACATGTAACTATTATTAATTGAAATGCTAACAGGACAACTACCAACACCGTAAGCACCACCACCACCACTACTACCTTCACCAATAACACCAACACCACCATCACCACAAACACTATCACCACCAGAACCACTACCATCACCATTACCACGAACACCAACGCCACCACCAACACCATCGCCATCACCACCAAAACAACCACAATCACCACCAACACGAACACCACCACCATCACCAATGCCACCACCAACACCATCGCCAACACCATCACCACCAAGAAACTCCACCAACAACAACGCCACCACCATCAACACCAACGTCACCAACGTCATTGCCAACACCACCACCAAAACCATCACCATCACCACGAACACCAACACCAACGCCACCAATACCACCACCATCACCACCACCAACATCACCACCACTACCTTTACCATCACCACCACAACAGCAATAACCATCTTAACCATCACATTCACAACTAGCACCATCACCATCATCACCATCACCACCAACTTATTTACCGGCTTTGTCACCACGAGCTTTTCAAGTTTTGAACTGCTGTTAGAACTGAGTGTATCCAAAAACTCTCTTTGAGACTAGAACCAAAAGCAAGTTTATGGGCATAAGAGCACAAGATAAAAACCTCTTCTCATTTTTTTGTTTTAAATTTCAAATTCAATTCTGTTTTTTCTTAGAGTATGTTTACCTGTATGGATATCCATGGTACTTGGAACGAAACACAGACAGCAACAAGCTGAAGAACAGTACTACAAGGCCAAGCCCGACCATGACTACAACTGAAACACAAGGAAACACACTTTAAGTGGATAGGCATGAAACAGACAAAAACCGAAGTCATCAACCTAACCATAAAGACTGAACAATTTTTTCGGGAAGAAAGTTCACAATAAAAAAGTTTTTAAGCCATAATTTATCAACAGTGTCTATATTTAAAATTCTCGGTCGAAACACAGACTTTTACGCGAGTTGATGGCAATTGAATCCTATTTAAAGTTTATTTACATTCCAGAATTTTCCTACGTTATCTGTGACCTCGACAGTGTTAAATAAACAGCACATTAAATTAATCCATATCTTTTCAAAAATTCAAAAAACTCATTCCGTAATGGGGTTAACAATTAACACTGAAATGTATACAGTCTGTGTGTTTTCTTGGCTTGACCACAGTTTTTACCTTTTCAAAAGTTTTCTATTTCTTTTTTTGTTTTTCAAACAGTTTATATAATAGGAGAAGCCAAATTTTTAACAATAAAAGATGCTTAGTGTCCAAGTTGCAGTACCGCTGTCACAGTAATAAGCAGATTTCATTTTGACACAATTTTTGTTGCAGCGATCCTTCAACGTTTTTCTGTTTACAAAGGCACGATTTCAAAAAAAGCTTTAACTAGTTATAAAAATAGGCTTCATATTCTAGGAAAACACAAAGTATTGGAAAAAAAAACAAACAAACAAACAAACACTGATACATACATCTAAGTTTTCCAATTTCCTTGACTTCAATAGCCTTCTCATTCAAAAGAATCATGCCAGCAACATAAAGAGCATCTTTGACAACAGTCAAGGCATAAATAGTCTACCATCCAAATGTTCTTCGGGCTTCGATTTATGATATTGTAGAGACGTTGTTACTTACGTTATTTTTAAGTTTGCTCTTTTAAAGAATGCTGTACTTAAAAGTTAGGTCTTTTAGATTGTGTATACTCAATATTATGTTTTGTATTATACTAGCTTGTTTAGCTTATTGAACATGAGCCTGTGGCTTGGAAGATGAGCAATCACTAAAAACCCTACCTCTGCAACATTAAATACATTAGCTTATCTTCATGACACGTTCCTTCCCATTAACACCTGACAAAGCCCAAAGTACTTCACTAATCTACAATAACCATGCAATAATAATATAATAAAGAAAAAGTTTACTTTGAATAACTATTATTAACCAGTAAAAAGTAAAAGGATACTAAGAACAATGACAATGTGTGTTTCAGCGGCAAACTGAGCCTGGCTACTTCCATGGATGTAACTCTGAAAAAAAGAGAGCAAAACGATAAACACACAGATGGTATTGTACACATCACAAAATTGTTAAGATATACTAAATTTTTCCTAAAGTAACATATGGAAAAATTATGTTTGGGATTTTTGTTTTTGCTTCCACTGTAAAAGAGAGGTACATTTGTACCCCTAGAGGCGAAGAGAATAACGTCTTCACCCATGACTGACAAATGAATAAATAAAAGTAACTGTAAAATAATAAAATTGCTATGAGTCAGACTGGCAAATACATTTCCCACTTCAAGGCACATGTACAACAATTAAACAATAAAAAAATAGAAAAATACCACGAAAATATAACTGTGGAAAATTATATGTACAAAAAAAATTAAAGAGTTGCGTAGCTATAACAGTTAGGGTGCAAATAGGACCGATAAATAAATAGTGCGTACAGCACCCCAAGTATGAAAGAGTTAAAACAACTTAAAATCTGTAGTTCTCAAGAGGATAAACTGCAATTAAGGTTAACTTCTCCGAACTTAGTGCTGCTTCCTGCATGATGAGCTTTCACTAATCAGTTTTTAATCTAGAGTCAAACATGGGTGGAGAGTGTGTGTAAGGGGCGGGGAGGAGGGGTAAAGGCTCGTTTTCAGTGATTATGTGCCACTAGACCCATCCTTCAATAGAAATAGGCCAATTTTTTTACAGCTTATCTGTTCGGGATACAAGTATTTTACAAACACCACGTGGCCCTTCATGGCCCAAGCTGTCTAAAAGTGCCACAAAGTACTGTAGTTACATGTGGTTACATGCATGACAACTTGTATGCTGCTGCTGCAATTCCATTTACCCAGGGCTCTGATTTGTCAGTGATACCAAGTCACCACTTGTCCAGTTTGTGGATTTCGATGAGCGTAATAGCTAGGAGACCCTCGGATGTGATTCCACATCTGGCCAGAATCGAAGTCATGGCAAAAACTATAAACTGAAAAGATAATAATAGATATACTTACTGCACTTTTCAAAAACACGCGAACTCTCAAGTTCAAAAGCAAACTGATGTTATAACATAGCTAGAAAATTCGCCTAATCAAATTCAATAGCGCGAGCGTGCTTCATATTCCTATTGAGCACGCTGATGACGTCAATAAACTATTCGCAATTCCTCGAGTTGTTAATGTGAGCTTAGCAATCCTGAGTCTCCTGAGTGCAAACATATCTCAGCAGTACACGATGAAGCGTTTACCATGTGTTTTATAAGGAAATTTAAGAGGAAACGTTTGAATTTGCTAACCGATAGTAGCGGAGCTCCCGCGCGCGCGAAGCGCGCGCGCAGCGGAGCACCATGGGTAAGAAAATTTGGTAAACTATCCATCCGAGAAAATTTGGTTATGACGTAGAGTACGCCCACCCGTACACACACTTCATGTAAGCCGATGTTAAATGTCACAATAGATCTTGCACAACTTGACTAGCCTCTTAGTTATGTAAGCCATCCGTATGAGTACGATTAGATTGACAGCTGTCAAAATCAGACATCCGCTGACAATTATCACATGACCATCTCGCGGGCTCAGATAAAAGACAAGTCGTTTTGCCCCTATATATAAGCTGATATAATATGTCACACTTACCAATTCAACATAAAAACGAAACTACGCTGGGCAAGGCTGTCAGTTGACTGACAGTCGTTTAAAGTTACATTGGCAAGCCAAATTAAGGTCAATTGACAGCTGTCAAAATGGGACACGTGCAGACCACAATCAGAAAACTAGTAACGTGGGCTCAGGTTCTCTCAGGTACACGATCTGGAATTTTCCACTACATGCCGGACGGATATGTCCTACTCACACTCGTAGTCTGTTAATTCGAATATTCGCCATTCTAGTGAAGGTTAATTGACACCTGTCAAACTAGAGTATACGCTGACCATCATCACCTGAGTGGATCGCGGGCTCATTTTTCTATCCATTGAGGTCACGTGGTGTTTAAAGTTTTGCGCATATATTTTATTTGATCACAAGCTCAATTCGAAGCCCCATAGCTTTATAGAAAATCTGTTCATCCTAGAAAATTCGGTAATCACGTGACCGTACACCGATCACCCGACCTTCCGTCTGTCCGCACCACAGGCATACCAATGTTTCTGCTGACCAGTATCGCCTGACCGTATCAGGGGCTCAGGTATAGACCCTCTGAGTTCGAGTAATTTTTTGAAGGTATCCGCTGACAAGTTGCTACTTTTCAAATGATCGCAGGCTCAAGTTCAATTTTTTTAAAATGCATATGAAATAAGTCGTGTTCATGAGCCGCACTTTTAAAATTTTGATTTCGAACTGACGTCGGACACGAAAATTCAACCGGCTTTTACATTTACATGCAGGGAAGGCAATCGCTTTTGACTTTTCTCACTGTCACGTGTTCATCACGCTCTACTTCCAATTTTTATGTTCTGATTGGTCAAGGTGAGTTTATGGGGAAAATCTATGCAGCGTCTGGAAACTTGCTTACTGATAGCTGGAGCTGACCGAGTTTTGTGTCATCTTGTGATGTTTTAAACTGTCTTTTTCTACTTGGTGTACAAAATACAGCTGCTATCAACATTGTTTGGTAATTCCTGGTTGGTTTGCTTATTGCGCTTTTTGTTGACAAATGCACCGTTTGTCAAAGTCACTGGAAATCCGATTTCGGATGGCATCGTTTTCAAAAATGAGCTTACTCACTTGCCCTTGCTTGAGGCGTAAGAGGGTTGAAAAGTCTCAAGCGATTCTGGAACACTTGATGACCTTCAGAAGCAGCATCTCGACTGGTAAGCCTGAGCAATTATTGTCTTTGATGTGTTTTTTTTTTCGGTTTCCTGAAGTCGAGCGTATGGTTTATGCGGCTTAAGTTTATACACGAGCAATGATCTAACCTACAATAGTATCAGGTTTAAAAAGCCTTTAGACACTTTTTGACCCGCAAATCAAAGAAAAGGTTCCGAAGATTATTTAGTTATGATTTTGGCAGTAAACAGAAAGCTCTGAGCGATTTTCTTGCCGCGAGTTCATCTTGAAAAAGAGAAAACACCGGGAAGCCGGCTTAAAACATAAATAAGCTTATGCTTACCTGACTCATGATTTTCTGAGACACTTTACGCTCAATACTTCTCTTTGTGAATGAAAATTATTGTCTCTGTACATGTTTCACCGAATTAAATTTATTTTATTGATTGTTAGTAGTCCCTCTCGCAATTTTTATCGCTGCACCGCTTTTTTTTTTAATTTCCAGTCGAACATAAACATCGCATGCAAGAATACTCAAAACGCCGCGCGTAAATATCACTCGCTTTTAAAGATTACACATAAAAGAATCATGCACAGTTTAATGAATAAAGGGAAGTAAAACCTAAACATAACAATTTCTCTATCATGTTGAAGCGTGAATGGTAACTCTATTAATCGCACTGCAAATTTGGTGCCTGTCAAAAGTGAGAACCCATCCGGCTGGCCGAAAAGTGATTTTGGGAATTTTTTTTTATAGTTTTCATTAAAAGCCCATAATTATTACCCTGCATATCTAGGACCAGATTTTTCTAACTGAAAAGTCCCGGCATTGTAGAATTCTTTTCATGAAAACGTTTTACAATTCAATGCTATAATTTGTTGTGCAAACGAACGGCGCGTGCTTTGATCGTCGTGGATATTGAATGAGTGCAAATTCTCTTGCCAAATTGTGAAAAACTGCAGAATTATAGGTTTAAATAGAGCAAAAAAAACAAATTCTGTCCGAGGTCTGTATGATAAAAAAAGGGCCTCATAGTACTGTTTACCTGAAACGTGATGAGAAAAAGTATGTTTAAAAGGCTGGTTTACACGCCACCAGATTCGTCGCCAAGATTTACTAGTAAACTAAACTTGTCGAACACAAAAAATCCGGCCAGATTTTTTTATTTTGGCCTCTCTTTTAGACAGAGGAATGCAACGTGTAAATTGGCTGCCACCAAGGACTATCGTGGCGCGTGTGTTTCTTAAAATTATAATTCGGGGCTATCCAATTATCCATAGTCTCTCTAACGGAGCAATGTTGGTGAGACTGGTGAATGCCACATTATGATGCAACAGCTAATGCAAATACAATACACCAATATATAGGTCTATTTGTTTTCCAGGCCTAATCTACTGTGATCGAACATGATTGCTATTTCTCGGTGTACAAATAAGACTATTTAATAACTCGATGTAAAATTTGTTTCACTCTTGGACGGTCAAATTCTGATTTTTCTCTAAAATCACTCAGCCTTTGCCTCAAAAGTCAAATTAATGTGCCCTGATCTGTGGATTACAATTGCAAGTTTATTGTTTGATTCAAATTATGAATTTATTAACGGGAGCTTCGCTTTTAGCTCTGGCTAAATCTATATATTAAGGAAAAGATGTGAGTGTTGTTGTTGTTGTTGTCATCTCCGCGAGCTGTGCGGACTATAGCGTGAGCTCATTCTTTGCAAAGTTGTTTTCTCTCAATAACAGTTTTTCGGTGAATTAATAGTTTTCTGGCACCTAAATATGGATTTTACAACCATTTTAGAGTAGACTTTCTCTCAGTTTCAGGATAAAAACATAAGCTTAACTGTGAGCAAAAAAACCATAGTCACGTAAACATTGACGCGTACTGCTTTGAGCGCGCCCTACAATAATAAAATTTTAAATTGATCGCTTTGATAATGTTATAAAACAATTAGTTCATGCTGCAGCTGTGCGTATGTCGGGATATTGAGCTCTTGGGAAGTTTGGAGAGCACTCAAGAGGCTAGCTAGAGTTACACGAGGCGCATTTCGTGCTCTCCAAACTTCCCGCGTGCTCAATATCTCGACATACGCACGCTGACGCATGAACTAATTGTTAATTTGCGTTGTTTGCTGCCGTCAATCATCTTAGCGGACCTCTCAGAAAACAGAACTTTACTTAAACAGGTTCAAAAGGTCATGGTTTGTGATCTGTGATTGGTGGATTTCGATCCGTTTTTTTGTGTTTCTGTGTTTCAAGGTACGTTGCTTGTGATCGTTATCATGATTGAAAGCAGCAAAAAAAGCGGCTTTTAAACTTTAGAGTTCATGTGTTCTTGAAAAGCACAGTAATGCCCGGTCAGGAAGGAAACAATTTTGTTTTGCCAAGAGGTTTTACATGTATGGCTTGATCTTTCCAGAGGGAAAGCTCAGGGAAACATCAAGAATCATTTTGTTGTTTATTATAGCAACAAAGACAACTCTAACTTCTCCAATCTGCCACAGAGGGACAAACAAATCAACCATAATATTGACATCTCATTTAATTTTACAGACAATATGGTGCTTTTTGTATTTGTCAGTTTGGACCAGCATTTCTCAGCTGAAGGATTGCTTTGAATAGTTGACAGCATTTCAATGGGGCAAACAAAATTACCTATCATCCCTCTTCTAATCTCATGGACCTGCACCCAAAATTTCTGCCAATTTTGTGATCACTAGAACTAATTTATCAAGACAGTAACGGCATGGGAGGAATACACGGAATACAGATGATCAATAATTATTGCTGCCCACAGTTCAATGTGGTTGATTACCCCCTGAAACAGACAACGGGAGCCAGCAACGACTAATCAACAGACAGGGCTGTCACTGAGACTTATAGTTGCTTTTATACTTGTTTACAGGTCAAAATTATATTCAGGTTAAAATTTTTCTAACTTATATATGTTGATTCTCTAGCCCTAATTATTCAGAGAACCAACCTTTTAACCTGAATTCAATTTTGAGTCGCAACATTATATGTTACGTTTTTTTTTTTTGGTTCTCTTTTCCCTTAGTTGGCTATGAACAAAGTAGCCAGGGGTCTGAAGTGATCATAGTGACAATAGATGCCGGGGAAATACCGTATCTTTGAACGATATTACAGTTACATTTTAAGTGCTGACAACGAAGAAATCTCTGGTTTAAGAAATATTTTTGTCAAAATTTTTTTGCAATAGACTTTAATGACACTTTAAATAGTAAATGTAATACGAATTTTCATAGATTTCACATTTAGAAACAGTCAAATAAAACAAGCATTTCCAATCCAAATAACCTAAAAAAAATAACATAAAAACTACCTACATGAACATCAGTGCTCTCTGCAACCCATTTCGCCAGCTGTTCAGCAGAGAATTCCATTCTACAAAGAAAACAAGCGGCAGCACTAAAACATGGAATCCGGAATCCGGAAACGGAATCACGGAAACGGAAACGGAAACAAAAATGGAAACGGAATACGGAATCAAATATTAATGATAGAAAATTAAAGACTGATTTCACATAGCATAATTTAGTACAATCCAAAAAGAACTTGTTTTAGTTTTCTTGCCAGTTCCCTTAAATCTGATATTCTTGTTATTGTGTCTTGTATGATAAGGTTTGCCGTAGTGTGGGCTATTGTACTGCAAGGCCGATGAAAGTAATTTTACGAGTAATTTTTATTCACGAGTTTATGGGTTGAATAATACAGTTAAATATTACCTTTGTAGCTAAATATCAAGAATAGTAGTAGTTGACCTCTGACCACATCACGTGATTGTCTCCAAACTGAATACTCAACACATGACCGACCCGTGACGTGACCACAGTTCCGGTGTTTTGGCAATAAGTTCAACTTTTTCGCCAAGCTGAACTACTGATGGAATACTGGTGTACCGGTAATTGAGTTTGCGTTGACGTCCGTATTTTTGTTGAAGAGGTTTATTAAACATGGCGCATTATTTTGATGTAATCAGTTGCGGGTTGGAGCATTTTAGTAGTGATGTAGCCAACACGCTGTACTTGTTCGCCGCATGTAAGCTGGGAATCCAGGACAGTCTTGGATTCTGGATTCCACGCAGTGTATTCCATATTCCAGGTACTACATTTCAGTATTTGTCAGTGGAACTTGGATTCTGGACTTTAATCGTTAGTGGGATTCCGGATTCCATGTTAAGCAAAATTTTCCCGGTTTCCGGATTCCCTTACTCATGGGGTGAACTTGTTCAAGCAAAACAGGATGAACGCGAATCCTGAGAAGACTAGACTCTTAGGCGGGGAAACACTAATCCCCTTATGAATATTAAATGTATGCGGTCTGAAACTGATTCCGATCCCAAATTTTAAATAAATCAAGTCATATAATAGCAGTTATTATTCGTTCAAGCTATGTCTCCGTTTCTGATTGGCTTAAAGCACACGCATAATTCACCATAACCAGGTACTGGTGACCAACTTGGAAGAACTTTGCGATCAACCGATGACGTCAAAAGTGCAGCACAGTTGCAGGTTAATGCACCGTTAACAGGGAAGACCCGGGAACGAGGTTGAGTTCTTTTTTTTGTGAAAAGAAAAATGGCCGAACAGTCGGCGGAACATTTTACTCATTTCACAATGAACTATTGTCTAAAAACATAGCAAGAAGACAACTCGACGGACAACATCTGCTATTTGGAGTATATTTGCAGACCTGAACAGCCCTTTATCTTCTAAGAATGCACTATCGAGGTGAACTTAACATCGACAAAAGGTAAGCACGTTTTAGCGTGTTTTTAAACTAGATATTATTTTTTCATACACTAGATAACAGGTCGAAATGTGCTACTCACATTTCAGATATTTGGCACAAAGTAGGAGGACAAGTAAATCCGCTCAACAGGTAAAACAAAAATTTTCCTTGTAGGATACAGAGGCACTGTATCGCGCCTTTATTTTTCCTAACTTTCTTTTTGTTGCAGCCAAGCCCTACAATATTGTGGGGCTCGAAACACCAGCAAGCTTGAGGAAATGAGCGCCGGGAACGGGCTCATAAATTCATTGTTAACTTGAAAATTGCAAAATCGACGCCGACGTTTCGGCACTGCTGCCTTCTTGAGGATAGAAGACTATATATTGTTAAAAAGTTCGTTTCATCGTTATATAGTCTTGTACCCTGAATAAGGCAACATTGCCGAAACGTCGGTTAAGACTGTTTTGAACAGCGTCGATTTTACATTATTCAGATAAAAATTAAGTTACTACGCTGCACGGGGATTACAATCTTTATTACACTCTTCAATTTATTTACAAGGACAATTCTATATTCTATCCTACCAGGCTAACACAGGACATTAGAAACCCGTTGGTTCCAGGACATATCAGTTACTTCATACAGTTGTTTTCAGGGAAGAGCGCCCGCGCGCATTAATCGTCTTATTAACGTCAGAACGAGAATCTGCAGGGTGAAAATGTACAGAGGAACCCCTCTCCCCTTAATACGGACACCCTTATAACAAACAATTTCGTTTGTCTCGACAAAAAGCTCATATATTTTCTCGGACAGCGAACATTTTCCTGTGTCCGCGCCCCGAATCACAAATTCCCATATGTCGTCAGCCCCGCTGTGCGAGCGGACGCTGTTCATCTGCGAACTGAATATGACTGATTTACCGGTGAAAATTTACAGAAAAGAGGAATGACCTTTCAAAGTCGGTTCTCTCTAATGTTCAGTCCACCTGGTTGAGTCGTAAAATAAAACCGTTAGTACAAAGTAGAGGAGCGGATTCCATTGTCATGTTTCAAGAACAATGCCTATGTAATTATGATCCCCGGGCGATGATTCAAGACTACGACAAACGATCACGAGGTTTATTTTTCTTGTTACAGTTGAGAAATTAAACAACAGTTCGTGAAAATGACTGATTTTGTCCTCATATCGATAATACTTGCGTCAGTGACGTTTTTTTCTGCAAGTCCGCTAATACACTCCCGGTTAATAAGGACACCATTAACCGGGTTCCACTGTATTGCCTTCATCTAGGGTGAACAGCACCAAATATGGCCTAAAGTGTTTTAGTTATCCTTTAGCAACTTTTCTGTGATATACAATAAAATACAAGAAGTTTATCTCAACATATCCCAACAGAGGTTTTAAACGTCGATTTACAATCAGTTGCAAAGAGCAGTTAAAGCTAGCTACTGTTGTAAAACTACTAAAACAAATATTTAAAAAATATCGTTGTAATACTGCTTTTTACGCCTACTAGTTTCTGCGACTCCTCTAACAGTGCGAATTCAAGGATAATAATTAATTTAAAAATCAGCAAGTTTCAGAAGACGCTTGTGACAAGACTAAACGTTGGTTGAGGGCTCCGGGCCATTTACTGGCCATTTATTTGTTTCGCTGCTATAATAGTTATGATTTGCCAAAACTTTGCTCTTAATACCTCCAGTTTATTTTATAAATTGTCGTTATTTTTGGTGTCGATTTTTCCGCCGAAATACTTTGCCAAATAAAGAACGCCCTGATGACAGTTTTTTCCGCACGCCACGTAATTCATTCACGCTGCTGGTAGTATCTCCGTTGTTTCTCATGTCTGATGCTTTTTGCAACGATTCCAAAGCTTCTTGCAAGTCTCCCATTCCATGTTGCACAACACCAAGCTCATGGTAGCTGCTGGCAGTGTCTTCGTGATCACCAAGCGAATTTAATCTCATGTTCGCTGCTTTTTGTAAAGAGTCCAAGGCTCCTTTAAAGTCTCCCATGTCACTCTGCACTAAACCAAGGTAATGGTAGCTGTTAGCCGTGTCTTCGTGATCACCAAGCAGATTTGAACTTATTTGTGCTGCTGTTTGGAAAGATTTCAAAGCTCCCTCGCTGTCCCCTATCTCATTCTGTGCCATACCAAGGCTGTGGTGGTTACGTGCCGTGTATATGTGATCTCTGCACAGATTGAAATTCATTTCTGCCGCTTTCTGAAATGCCTCAACAGCTGACTTAAAATCACCCATGGCAAAATGGATAGTGCCTTGCACATAAAAGCTGTCGGCTGTATTGAGATGGTCTCCTAGAAGCTCCTTCCTCATTCGTAAGCTGGCCTGTACAGACTCCAAAGCGCTTCTTAGGTCTCCTGCTTCCTTTTGCACTACACCAAGCCAATGATAGCTGTACGCCGTGTCTTTGTGATCACCAAGCAGCTTTGATCTCATGTTTGCTGCTTTTTGTAAAGATTCCAAAGCCCTTTTCAAGTCTCCAATGTCACGCTGCGCTTTACCAAGCCAAAAGTAACTGTTCGCCGTGTTTTCGTGATCACCAAGCAGATTTGATCTCATGTTTGCTGCGTCTTGTAAAGAGTCCAAAGCTCCTTTCAGGTCTCCCATCTCACGGTACACCAAACCAAGCCAATAGTAACTGTGCGCCGTGTTTTCGTGATCACCAAGCAGATTAGATTGCATGTTTGCTGCTTTTTGTAAAGAGTCCAAAGCTCCTTTTAGGTCTCCCAAGTCACGCTGCACTAAACCAAACCAATAGTAGCTGGACGCCGTGTCTTCGTGATCACCAAGCACATTTGATCTCATGATTGCTGCTTTTTGAAAAGAGTCCAAAGCTCCTTTTAGGTCTCCCAAGTCACGCTGCATCAAACCAAACCAATAGTAGCTGGACGCCGTGTCTTCGTGATCACCGAGCACATTTGATCTCATGTTTGCTGCTTTTTGTAAAGAGTCCAAAGCTCCTTTAAGGTCTCCCAAGTCACGCTGCACTAAGCCAAGATTGTGGTAGCTGGATGCCGTGTCTTTGTGATCTCCAAGCATACTTGATCTCATGTTTGCTGCTCTTTGTAAAGAGTCCAAAGCTCCTTCAAGGTTTCCCATGTCACGCTGCACTAAACCAAGGTAATGGTAGCTGTTAGCCGTGTGCTCCTGATCACCAAGCAGATTTGATTGCACGCACACTGCTTTTTGTAAAGAGTCGAAAGCTCCCTCGTGGTCCTTTATTTTCTTCTGTGCAATACCAAGCTTGTGGTAGCTATGTGCCGTGTTTACGTGATCTCTGCGCAGATTGAAATTCATTTCCGCTGCTTTCTGAAGTGCCTCAACAGCTGACGTAAAATCACCCATTGCAAACTGGATAGTGCCTTGCTCATAAAAGCTGTCGGCTGTATTGGGGTGATCTCCTAAAAGATTCTTCCTTAATCGTAAGCAAACCTGTACAGATTCCAAAGCGCTTTTCAGGTCTCCCGCTTTCATCTGCACTACACAAAGCCAATAGTAGCTGTACGCCGTGTCTTCGTGATCACCAAGCACATTTGATCGCATGGTTGCTGCTTTTTGTAAAGAGTCCAAAGCTCCTTTCAGGTCTCCCAAGTCACGCTGCACTAAACCAGACCAATGGTGGCTGGACGCCGTGTCTTCGTGATAACCAAGCAGATTTGATCTCATGTTTGCTGCTTTTTGTAAGGAGTCCAAAGCTCCTTCCAGGTCTCCCATCTCACGCTGCACTAAACCAAACCAATAGTAGCTGGACGCCGTGTCTTCGTGATCACCAAGCACATTTGATCGCATGTTTGCTGCTTTTTGTAAAGAGTCCAAAGCTCCTTTCAGGTCTGCCATCTCACGCTGCACTAAACCAAACCAATAGTAGCTGGACGCCGTGTCTTCGTGATCACCAAGCACATTTGATCTCATGTTTGCTGCTTTTTGTAAGGTGTCCAAAGCTCTTTTCAGGTCTCCTTCTCACGCTGCACTAAACCAAACCAATAGTAGCTGGACGCCGTGTCTTCGTGATCACCAAGCACATTTGATCTCATGTTTGCTGCTTTTTGTAAAGAGTCCAAAGCGCCTTTCAGGTCTCCCTTCTCACGGTGCACCAAACCAAGCCAATAGTAGCTGTATGCCGTGTTTTCGTGATCACCAAGCAGATTTGATTCCATGTTTGCTGCTTTTTGTAAAGAGTCCAAAGCTCCCTTCAGGTCTCCCATCTCATGCTGCACTAAACCAAGCCAATAGTAGCTAGACGCCGTGTCTTTGTGATCGCCAAGCACATTTGATCTCATGTTTGTTACTTTTTGCAAAGAGTCCAAAGCTCCTTTCAGGTCTCCCATCTCATGCTGCACTAAACCAAGCCAATAGTAGCTGGACGCCGTGTCTTCGTGATCACCAAGCACATTTGATCTCATGTTTGCTACTTTTTGCAAAGAGTCCAAAGCTCCTTTCAGGTCTCCCAAGTCACGCTGCACTAAACCAAACCAATAGTAGCTGGACGCCGTGTCTTCGTGATCACCAAGCACATTTGATCTCATGTTTGCTGCTTTTTGAAAAGAGTCCAAAGCTCCTTCCAGGTCTCCCATCTCACGCTGCACTAAACCAAACCAATAGTAGCTGGACGCCGTGTCTTCGTGATCACCAAGCACATTTGATCTCATGTTTGCTGCTTTTTGTAAAGAGTCCAAAGCTCCTTTCAGGTCTCCCATCTCACGCTGCACTAAACCAAACCAATAGTAGCTGGACGCCGTGTCTTCGTGATCACCAAGCACATTTGATCGCATGTTTGCTGCTTTTTGTAAAGAGTCCAAAGCTCCTTTCAGGTCTGCCATCTCACGCTGCACTAAACCAAACCAATAGTAGCTGGACGCCGTGTCTTCGTGATCACCAAGCACATTTGATCTCATGTTTGCTGCTTTTTGTAAGGTGTCCAAAGCTCTTTTCAGGTCTCCCTTCTCACGCTGCACTAAACCAAACCAATAGTAGCTGGACGCCGTGTCTTCGTGATCACCAAGCACATTTGATCTCATGTTTGCTGCTTTTTGTAAAGAGTCCAAAGCGCCTTTCAGGTCTCCCATCTCATGCTGCACTAAACCAAGCCAATAGTAGCTAGACGCCGTGTCTTTGTGATCGCCAAGCACATTTGATCTCATGTTTGTTACTTTTTGCAAAGAGTCCAAAGCTCCTTTCAGGTCTCCCATCTCATGCTGCACTAAACCAAGCCAATAGTAGCTAGACGCCGTGTCTTTGTGATCGCCAAGCACATTTGATCTCATGTTTGTTACTTTTTGCAAAGAGTCCAAAGCTCCTTTCAGGTCTCCCATCTCATGCTGCACTAAACCAAGCCAATAGTAGCTGGACGCCGTGTCTTCGTGATCACCAAGCACATTTGATCTCATGTTTGCTGCTTTTTGTAAAGAGTCCAAAGCTCCTTTCAGGTCTCCCATCTCACGCTGCACTAAACCAAACCAATAGTAGCTGGACGCCGTGTCTTCGTGATCACCAAGCACATTTGATCGCATGTTTGCTGCTTTTTGTAAAGAGTCCAAAGCTCCTTTCAGGTCTGCCATCTCACGCTGCACTAAACCAAACCAATAGTAGCTGGACGCCGTGTCTTCGTGATCACCAAGCACATTTGATCTCATGTTTGCTGCTTTTTGTAAGGTGTCCAAAGCTCTTTTCAGGTCTCCCTTCTCACGCTGCACTAAACCAAACCAATAGTAGCTGGACGCCGTGTCTTCGTGATCACCAAGCACATTTGATCTCATGTTTGCTGCTTTTTGTAAAGAGTCCAAAGCGCCTTTCAGGTCTCCCTTCTCACGGTGCACCAAACCAAGCCAATAGTAGCTGTATGCCGTGTTTTCGTGATCACCAAGCAGATTTGATTCCATGTTTGCTGCTTTTTGTAAAGAGTCCAAAGCTCCTTTCAGGTCTCCCATCTCATGCTGCACTAAACCAAGCCAATAGTAGCTAGACGCCGTGTCTTTGTGATCGCCAAGCACATTTGATCTCATGTTTGTTACTTTTTGCAAAGAGTCCAAAGCTCCTTTCAGGTCTCCCATCTCATGCTGCACTAAACCAAGCCAATAGTAGCTGGACGCCGTGTCTTCGTGATCACCAAGCACATTTGATCTCATGTTTGCTACTTTTTGCAAAGAGTCCAAAGCTCCTTTCAGGTCTCCCAAGTCACGCTGCACTAAACCAAACCAATAGTAGCTGGACGCCGTGTCTTCGTGATCACCAAGCACATTTGATCTCATGTTTGCTGCTTTTTGAAAAGAGTCCAAAGCTCCTTCCAGGTCTCCCATCTCACGCTGCACTAAACCAAACCAATAGTAGCTGGACGCCGTGTCTTCGTGATCACCAAGCACATTTGATCTCATGTTTGCTGCTTTTTGTAAGTTGTCCAAAGCTCTTTTCAGGTCTCCCTTCTCACGCTGCACTAAACCAAACCAATAGTAGCTGGACGCCGTGTCTTCGTGATCACCAAGCACATTTGATCTCATGTTTGCTGCTTTTTGTAAAGAGTCCAAAGCGCCTTTCAGGTATCCCTTCTCACGGTGCACCAAACCAAGCCAATAGTAGCTGTACGCCGTGTTTTCGTGATCACCAAGCAGATTTGATTCCATGTTTGCTGCTTTTTGTAAAGAGGCCAAAGCTCCTTTCAGGTCTCCCATCTCATGCTGCACTAAACCAAGCCAATAGTAGCTAGACGCCGTGTCTTTGTGATCGCCAAGCACATTTGATCTCATGTTTGTTACTTTTTGCAAAGAGTCCAAAGCTCCTTTCAGGTCTCCCATCTCATGCTGCACTAAACCAAGCCAATAGTAGCTGGACGCCGTGTCTTCGTGATCACCAAGCACATTTGATCTCATGTTTGCTACTTTTTGCAAAGAGTCCAAAGCTCCTTTCAGGTCTCCCTTCTCACGGTGCACCAAACCAAGCCAATAGTAGCTGTACGCCGTGTGTTCGTGATCACCAAGCAGATTTGATTGCATGTTTGCTGCGCTTTGTAAGGACACCATAGCTCCTTTGACGTTTCCCATGTAGTGCTGCACTTTACCAAGCTCGAAATAGCTGAGTGCCGTGTCTTCGTGATCGCCAAGCAGCTTTGATCTGATGTTTGCCGCGCTTTGTAAGGACTCCATAGCTCCTTTCAGGTCTCCCATGTCACATTGCACTAAGCCAAGATTGTGATAGCTGGATGCCGTGTCTCTGTGATCTCTAAGCAGAATTGATTGCATGTTTGCTGCTCTTTGTAAAGAATCCAAAGCTCGTTCAAGGTCTCCCATGTCACGCTGCACTAAACCAAGGAAATAGTAGCTGTACGCCGTGTTTTCGTGATCACCAAGTAGACTTGATCTCATGTTTGCTGCTCTATGTAAAGAATCCCAAGCTCCGTCAAGGTCTCCAATGCCACGCTGCACTAAACCAAGCAAATAGTAGCTTAACGCCGTGTCTTCGTGATCACCAAGCAGATTTGATTTCATGTTTGCCGCTTTTTGTAAGGAGTCCTTAGCTCGTTCAAGGTCTCCCATGTCACGCTGCACCAAAGCAAGCAAATAGTAGCTGTACGCCGTGTCTTCGTGATCACCAAGCAGATTTGATTCCATGTTTGCTGCTTTTTGTAAGGATTCTAAAGCTCCTTCAAGGTCTCCAATGTCACGCTGCACTAAACCAAGCTCGTGGTAACTGCTTACCGTGTCTTTGTGATCACCTAGCAGCTTTGATCTCATGTTTGCTGCTCTTTTTAAAGAGCATAATGCTCCTTTGAAGTTCTCCATGTCTCCCTGTACTAGACCAAGCCAGTGGTGACTACATGCGGCGTCTTCGTGGTCGCCAAGCAAATTTGATCTCATTTGAGCTGCTTTTTGCAAAGAGTCTAATGCTTCTTTGAGGTTTCCCACGTAACGTTGTACCAAACCGAGCCTGTGGTAGTTACGTGCTGTGTCTTCGTGATCACCAAGAAGATCGGATGTCATGTCTGCCGCCCTTTGTAAAGAGTGTAAAGTCCTTTCTTGGTAATCTTTCCTATTCTTAGTAGAACGTAGACCGTGGTAGCTATGTGCCGTGCTTATGTGATCTATGTGGAAATTGAAATTTATATCCGCTGCTTTCTGTAGTGCCTGGACAGCTGCCTTAAAATCACCCATGGCAAAATGGATAGCGCTTTGCTCATAAAAGCTGTCGGCTGTAATGGGGTGATCTTCGTGATCGCCAAGCAGCTTTGATCCGATGTTTGCAGCGCTTCGTAAGGACTCCATAGCTCCTTTGACGTCTCCCATGTCACGCTGCACTAAACCAAGCTTGTAACAGGCAAGTGCCGTGTCCCTGTGATCACCAAGCAGATTTAATCTGATATTTACTGCGCTTTGTAAGGACTCCATAGCTCCTTTTAGGTCGCCCGTGTAACGTTGCACTTTACCAAGCGTGTAATAGGTAAGTGCTGCTCTCTTAGTGCTGTTTTCAAGCGGATATGATGTCAAGTTGCTTGCTCTTTGTAGAGACTTTAGAGCTCCTTGAAGGTCCTGCATCTTATATTGTGCCTTACCAAGTTGGAAGTAGTAGTGCGCCGTAATTGTGTGATATCCGCGCAAATTCAAACTCATGTCTGCCGCTTTCTGGAAGGCCTCAACCGCTGACTTACTATCACCCATAGCAAAATAGATATTGCCTTGCTCAAAATAGCTGGAGGCTGTACAGGGATGACCTCCTAGTAGTTTTTGTCTTAGCAGTACGCCCAGCTGTACAGACTCTAGTGCTCCTGTCAGATTCCCCGCCTGACGCTGTTTTCTAGCAAGCTCAAGGAAGCTTCTCGCTGTGTCTTCGTGAACACCAAACGTAATAAGGCTCATGTATGCTTTGTCTTGTAAATGGCCAAAGGGTCCTGGATGATACCTTCTGTTGGACCCTTCCATTTTAAAGTTATAGTAGCTGTTCAGCCGTGGATTTTCAAGCAGAAACGCTACGGTCTCTGCCTTCCGGATCGCTCTAACGAGTGTCTCACTATCATTTTCGGTAACGCCTTTCTGATTAACGCTTGCGGCTGTATGAGGATAATGTTGTCCTAGAAGTTCGGTTTTTAGTCGTGAGCCCATCTTGGCAGATTCCTGTGCTCCTTTTAGGTTTCCCTCTTCACGCTGCACTCTACTAAGCCAGAAGTAGCTTTCCGCTGTTGTGTGACATTCTCTGGCAGAGTGCAACCTTTGTTCGTCGTCCGTTTTTCCCCTCTTCTTTGCTTCTTCTACTGCCGTGTCATAAAGCCGCTCAATTAACAATTGTTCATCATGCAAAGCAACACTAAGAAATGATTTTGCTTCGGACAACAACTCTACAGTTTTTGCGTAGATCTTGTCTATTCGAAGACCATTAGAAATGGATGAAATGATGCTGCCCCGCCGATCAAGGAAACTCCTGAAGGCGTCCCCGTAATGTTGTTTCAGAAAATTTTCATTAGCATCTTTACAACTGGAAATGTAATAGTCGTAAAACTGAAGTTTTGAATCCCAAAACACAGCTTCAACCGCCTGGTCATTTTTCATTTCTTCCTCAATGAAAGACCGTAATAGTGAATGGACCGTAAAATGACTGAAATTTTCTCCACAGTCTAATAGGGACTTTCGTTCCAATGATCGAATTATTTGTTTGGTCTTAGCTTCTGTATCTACATTCAATATGGCTTGAGCTTCCTCTATTCCAAACCATTCAGGAAAAACAGAAAGCGAAACAAATGCGTTTCTTTCGCGAACCTTGAGCCTTTTGAAAGATGTGTTTATTACAGATTTTATCCGAACACCATCAGGGAGGTATTCACTGTCCAAAACTTCAACTAGAGTTGAGTTTTTAAGTTCTTGTAAAAGATCATTGACGGAGATACTTGCCTCCTTAATGACGCTGCACATCAGTCGCATGGACATAGGAACGTTCCCACATTCCCTCACAATGCAATTGCAGTCAAAATCCGATTTATCTGGTAATAGCAGCCGTACTAGATCTGCCGACGAAATTTTATCCAATTCATTAATTTTCTCTGAGTGGATTGGTAGCTTGTGGCTTAAGTAGTCTAGATGTTCGCGAGTGGTTAAGAGAAGCTTGATTTGTTTGCAGTGAGTGAGGATCTCATCAATAAATTGGAGCACGTGCTCTCTTCGTCTGGTACCTCCAGATTCAAGTAAATCATCCGCGTTGTCTAATACTAAGACAAACGGATTCTGAACTTGCTGTAAACATTGGATACTGAAGTGAGACGATGAAATATGGCGAACCTGGCTATCGTCTGCAAACATACTGAGCAGCTTTGACACTAGATCCTCTTTACTTTCCATTCCACGAACGGATACAAAGTGAACTGTAATATTCTTCTCTTGTAAGTGATGCGCTACCCTGATGGCCACTGATGTTTTTCCAAATCCAGGTGGACCCCAGACGTTAACCAGTCGAGTAACTTCATCTGTTAAATGACGTTCTACTGCTTTACATTCCTTGTCGCGGCCAACAAAGTTTGGTATTTCATCAGGTATGGACGAGACGGGCACAAATACATCTTAGATACAAAATAGAGGCAAATGATAATGCAACGAATGATCATTCCTATATTTTGTAATTAATGATAAAGTGAAAAAGAGAGTGATCGTTCTGATATGATAATTAGTGACTACCAGCGTAATATTTTTCTGGAAAATATATTATAAGGTTAACGATTAAGAAGAATGTGCCTGAGAGTTTAAAAACTTTCAAGCAGTAATTTGCAGTTTTTCTAAGTTAAAAAAGGCGAAATTTTCTTAGAAGTTGCAAACCTGTTCTTTTTTTCTGGATATTGTTAAGAATGCTATGTTTGGAAACATGCATGTGTTTGGAAACATATATGTGTTGTCCGCGACTGTGCTCACACGGTGGGTGGCTCCCCCTAAAATGTTCTGCAATTGGTATAGGATTTAATGGAGCCGAAACCAATTGTGGAATTGCACGCATTTTGGGCGTCCTACTGATGAACAGTTGAGACACGTAGATATATTTTTTAGCAACTACTATAATTTGCAGTCTGTCTACTCTGAATAACACTGAGAGCGCCACAAAATAACCAATGAAAGGCATAACAGTTAGCCGATGCGTTTCCACTTCTGCAATTCTTTTCACATGCATATGAAAGGGAATGTATGCGTGCAAAACTAGCCAAGTAGTTTCCTTCACGAAGCAAAGATCATGTGGATCATGACGAATCCAAGCCAACTAGTGTTTCGCATAGAAACAAGCAATGCTACTCTTACCTCTTGTGATTCCCGCCTGCACTGCTTGTTTTATGTCGTCGACATTTGTTTTCACTTTAGCTAGTTCCAACCCTACATGTTCAACTTTTGCCATAATATCTGAACCGACATTTTTCACTTGAGTTTTAGCACCTGTAACTTCCTTTTCTACATCTGACCTGACCTCTTCTACTTTCATACGCACATCTCTTGCCGCAGCTATCACATCTGACGCCACTTCTTCCACTTTCTTTTCCACATCTGTTACTGCAGTTGTTACGTCTGACCCTACTTCTTCTACTTTATTCTGCATATCTGTTACTGTCATTTTTAAGTCTGATGCGACTTCTTCCACTTTCAACTGCACCTCTGTTGATGCCGTTTTTACATCTGATCCAACAGTCTTAATTTGAGACTCGATCTGGACGAGGTGATCACTGATTTGCTTGAACTTGATGGCAGCATCCTTTTCTCTCTTCAACTCTTCTTCCAGCTTTTGAACCTTGGAAGTAGGAAAGTCTTCTTCGTCAAGCTTTCCGATCTCATCAATCCTGGTTGTGTCTTGTCCAAGTGCAGCAAATGCATCTTTCCCCAACTGTATATAATGATCAAAAGTTGTCTTCTCAATGTTTTTGGTACCTGTCTGGTGACAGAGAGTGTTGCGTAGCAGACGGAGCTGATCCAACGCTAAAGCAAACGTCTCGGCCTGGTTTCCAGAAGGGCTTAAAATGACAGGATGAAATGTTCCACTCGGTAAACGACGGGGCTTCACGTACAGTTTGTCTAAAGTAGCAAAGCTTCCAGTCCCGTCTGGTATGGCAAAGCTTTTAGCATAAAGAGTGGCTTCAAACAGCGCCGTGCAGTCCCACTCTTTATATGATTTACTGGTTGGAACATATTTTGTCTTTCCACCCTCTTTACTGAGAAACATGTTGCGAACCAGAAGTGAGTCGTCCCATGTTTGAAAGCCTGGTGTAGGAGCAACTTGATTGTCCCACATGTGAACGAAAACGTCGCGGAGGGTGATTGGAAATTCATCAAGAACAACAGATGAGAACTTGAAAAAGTTCAGTTGCTCCAACGAAAATGTAGCCATCGCGAAGATGATCAACTTTACTATAGTATGATATGTTAGACGAAAAGAGACCAAACTGTTTTTGAACAATCAAGAATTGTAAAGAGAGAGTATCTGCAAATACAAACATAATAAAAGAAGAAACTGTAAAAATGCTTGTTAAGGACAAGTAATATGCAAATGTGGTTTTTTTAAACGATATTTACTTTTGAATTATCATAGGTCATAAAAGTACTGAACAGAGAGATTCGTACACCCGCTACAAGTCATCCCTGGTGGGGATACCCCGGGCAAAGAACCTTGTCGAAGTAAGTAATTTGTTCGTCCTTGATGGGGCCACAGAACAAAGAGAGGGTTATAATACTGGAAAACGTGAAACCGCAGTTGTACAGTATGTGGTCCTTGGTCCGGACGAAAAAGAAGTAAATGATTATTACGTATCTAAGAAGAGGAGTAGTGAGCTGAAATTTGTCCTGTAAGTTGCCGCACTACATTTTACTAACTTGTGAAAAACCGACAGCTTCTAAGCTTTGCCGAAAGTCTTGCATCATAGAAAATGACCGCTCCGTTTACAGGCCCCTGGGGCCGTTTCTCGAAAGTCCCGATAATAAACGGGTCCATAAAGCTGTTTTTGTTTACATACAAGATTTCAATAGTTTTGCATCTTACACTATAAAACAATCAGTTATTGAAACAAAATGGAGTATTTTGCTTGCAGGACCCGCGCTCTTATACTCCCTTATATAACCTATATAGGTATGTGCCGCCCCATCGGGTAGGGTTTTGGCACTGGTTTGGTCTGAAAACGGGTGTACCTTTGAACCCATTACCCCTAAAGGTAATGGGTTTATGATAACCGTCACGAATATAGGGACATTCCATGACCACTTTGCCCACTATAAGAAAGTTGATGTTTGGTGTAGTTGGTGCAGTTGCTGTAGCTGGTGTAGTTAGTGTAGTTGGTGTAGTATATGTAGTTGGTGTAGTATGTGTAGTTGGTATAGTTTGTGTAGTTGTGTAGTTTGTGTAGTTGGTGTAGTTATTGTAATTGGTGTAGTATATGTAGTTGGTGTAGTAGCTGTAGTTGGTGTAGTAGCTGTAGTTGGTGTAATTAGTGTAGTTGGTGTAGTTGGTGTAGTTAGTGTAGTTGGTGTAGTATATGTAGTTGGTGTAGTATGTGTAGTTGGTGTAGTTTGTGTAGTTGGTGTAGTTACTGTAACTGGTGTAGTATATGTAGTTGGTGTAGTAGCTGTAGTTGGTGTAGTATATGTATTGGTGTAGTTAGTGTAGTTAGAGTAGTATATGTAGTTGATGTAGTATGAGTAGTTGGTGTAGTTTGTGTAGTTGGTGTATTTAGTGTAGTTGGTGTAGTATATATAGTTGGTGTAGTTGCTGTAGTTGGTGTAGTGAGTCTAGTTAGTGTAGTTGGTGTAGTATATGTAGTAAGTGTAGTTACTGTAGTTGGTGTAGTTAGTGTAGCTGCTGTAGTATGTGTAGTTGGTGTAGTATGTGTAGTTGATGTAGTTAGTGTAGTTGGTGTAGTATGTGTAGTTGGTGTAGGTAGTGTAGTTGGTGTAGTTAGTGTAGTTGGTTTAGTTGCTGTAGTTGGTGTAGTATGTGTAGTTTGGTGTAGTTACTGTAGTTGGTGTAGTTAGTGTAGTTAATGTAGTATACGTAGTAGGTGTAGTATGTGTGGTTAATGTAGTTGGTGTAGTTAGTGTAGTTTGCATAGTTACTGTAGTTGGTGTAGTATATGTAGTTGGTGTAGTATGTGTAGTTGGTGTAGTATGTGTAGTTAGTGTAGTTGGTGTAGCTAGTGTAGTTGGTGTAGTATATGTAGTTGGTGTAGTATGTGTAGTTGGTGTAATATGTGTAGTTAGTGTAGTTGGTGTAGTATAAGTAGTTGGTGTAGTATCTGTAGTTGGTGTAGTAGCTGTAGTTGGTGCAGTTAGTGTAGTTGGTGGTGTAGTATGTGTAGTTGGTATATTTTTTTGTAGTTGGTGTAGTTACTGTAATTGGTGTAGTACATGTAGTTGGTATAGTAGCTGTAGTTGGTATAGTTAGTGTAGTTGGTGTAGTTTGGTCTAGTAGGTATAGTTTGGTGTAGTTTTTTTGTTGTGAGTGTAGTTTGGTGTAGTTGGTGTAGTTTGGTGTGGTAGGTGTACTTTGGTGTAGGTTGGTGTAGTGTTGTGAAGTTGGTGTAGTTTGGTGTAGTTTTGTGTAGTTGGTGTAGTTTGGTGTAGTCTGGTTTAGTAGGTGTAGTTTGGTGTAGCTGGTTTAGTTTGGTGTATTTGGTGTAGTTTTGTGTAGTTGGTGTAGTTTGGTGTAGTTTGGTGTAGTTGGTGTAGCTTGATGTACTTTGGTGTAGGTTGATGTAGTTTGGTGTAGTTTTGTGTAGTTGGTGTAGCTTGATGTAGTTTTGTGTAGGTTGATGTAGTTTGGTGTAGTTGGTGTAGTTTGGTTTAGTTTAATGTAGTTACTGTAGTTGCTGTAGGACATTAATGGTGGTGATTTGCTAACACCTGCGAAATCTAATGCAACTTTCTGCAGGTTGCTTCTTTGGGAGGCTCGTTACTTTTATTACTGTGATCATCTACCCAACATAATACACAAGAAATCTAAAACTAATTTTACCCGTTAAAAGCTTTATAACAAGGTAAATCAATTATGATAATCTTTCAAAATAAGCGAGTTAACAAAGCAACATTATTTCATTAAACAAACAACAACAACAACACACATAAAATAAGAAAAATAAATATATATATTAAACTGACAAAGAGCCGATGACAACAGTTTTTTTCGGTGTTCACGTAAGTTAGGATTTACGTAATTTTGTTTATTATCTCTTATAATAAATCTTGTATAACTACAAAACTACAACAACTACTCCAAACTACACCAACTACACAAACTACACCAAAATACACCAACCTACACCAAAATACACCAACTATCCCAAACTACAGTAACTACACCAAACACAATAACTACACATACCACATTCACTACAGCAAGTACACGAACCACAGCAACTTCAGCAACTACACATACTACACCAACTACAGCAACTACGCTAACCACACCAACTACAGCAACTACACTAACTACGCCAACTACACCAACTACACTAACTACACCAACTACAGTAACTGCAGCAACTACAGCTACTACACAAAATACATATACTACACTAACTACACTAACTACACCAACTACATATACTACACATACTACACCAATTACAGCAGCTACACCAACTACAGCAACTACACCAACCACGTATACTACACCAACTACACTAACTATACAAACTACACTAACTACACCAACTACACATACTACACCAACTACAGCAACTACACCAACTACATATACTACACCAACTAACTACAGCAACTACACCAACTACAGTAACTACACCAATTACACTAACTACACCAACCACAGTAACTACACCAACTACACCGACTATACCAACTACACTAACTACACCAACTACACATACTACACCAACTACACCAACTACACCAACTACATATACTACACCAACTAAAGTAATTACACGAACTACACAAACTACACCAACTACACCAACTACACGTACTACACCAACTACATATTATACTACACCAACTACACTACCTACACCAACTACACATACTACACCAACTACAGCAACTACACTAAGTACACCAACTACACTAACTAGAGCAACTACAGCAACTACACCAACTACATATGCTACACCAACTACACTAACTACACCAACTACACATACTACACCAACTACAGCAACTACACCAACTACATATACTGCACCAACTACAGTAATTACACGAACTACACAAACTACATCAACTACACAAACTACACCAACTACACATACTGCACCAACTACAGTAACTACACCAACTACACTGACTATACCATCTACACTAACTACACCAACTACACATGCTACAGCAACTACACCAACTACACTGACTATACCAAATACACTAACTACACCAACTACACATACTACACCAACTACGTATACTACAGCAACTACACCAACTACAGTAACTACACCAACTACACTAACTATACCAAAGGCACATACTACACCAACTACACTAACTACACCAACTACATATACTACACCAACCACACATACTACACCAACTACAGCAACTACAGCAACGACACATACTACACCAACTACAGCAACTACAGCAACTACACTAACTACACCAACTACAGCAACTACAGCAACTACATATACTACACCAACTACACAGAGGGTTGTCCAATACACCCGCACCGTAACGGTCTGTATAAGCTATGTGTCGATCCGTACGGATCGAACGGATCGATAACAGGGGTATACGTTCTGTAAAGTGTGTTTTGCGGTTCGTAAATCGCATCTCATTAGTGGGACTTAGAATATTTCATGGGAAGGGCTGTTATATACGGTTTGTCGATCCATACGGATCGAACGGATCGACAAAAGGGGTATACGGTCTGTAAAGAGTGTTTTACGGTCCGTAAATCGCATCTCATTAGTGGGACTTAGAATATTTTCATGGCAAGAGTGGTTATTTACGGTTTGTCGATCCGTACGGATCGAACGGATCGACAAAAGGGGTATACGGTCTGTAAAGAGTGCTTTACGGTCCGTAAATCGCATCTCATTAGTGGGACTTAGAATATTTTCATGGCAAGAGTGGTTATATACGGTTTGTCGATCCGTACGGATCGAACGGATCGACAAAAGGGGTATACGGTCTGTAGAGAGTGTTTTACGGTAAGTAAATCGCATCTAATTAGTGGGACCTAGAATATTTTAATGGCAAGAGTGGGTATTTACCGTTTTTCGATCTGTAAGGACGGTACGGACCGACGAAAGTGGTATACGGTTTGTGAAGAGCTCTCTTCGGTCCGTAAAGTGAACGAGGTTCACGTTGGGGATCATTGGGTCCCTATACCTTAGGAGATAAATTATAAGAGAGATATTCAATACTATGATGCTGTAAACTCGAGGCAGTGTAATTGCAAATATTATGATAATTTTACATTGACTGTTATGTATACTCAGTGTCCAGAGTGCAATATTTTACAATCTCTTGGCTAAAATTCTAACTGCATTACAGTGTTCACTTTCTTTACTTTTTGCCCTTTTTCAGCACGCGTTTTTTCTTGAGTACCTTTTACGGTGTCTAAGTTGGCGACCCGAAACGAATATTTCAAACCATATCATGGGTTATAACTTATGTGTATTGGTGAAATGTTACTCTTGATTTGAACTGTATTTTCTTCCTTTTCAAACATTATAGCACAAGACAAATTTGGGAAATATGAATTAAACCAAGGATAAAATTGATCCACAACACAAAATTGAACTGGAACATCTACATGTACTAGATTGTGGGTTAAGTAGCATTTTTAGCAGCAGGTACATCATAGGAAAATGATGCGTAACAATAATAAGAGAGGATGTGAGAAAAAATAAAATGTGAATAATAAATGCCCCAATGATATATTAACAATGAGATGTGAAATAATTATAAAGAAACAGAAAGGTGTGACAAAATTAAATGCTTAAAGTTAGTAAACAGTCGATGGTGATTGGTTGCTACTATCACACATATAGATTAACGAGTGGTCTCAAACAACCAGTTTCCCACTGTTGAATAATACTGAGAAACCATAACTCTACTATTGTGGGTAGATGTCTTGGGTCGACGAATATAGAGAGACCATCAGATACCTGTCAAAGGCAAAGGTTCTACTTTGACGTAGACCACAACAAACCTTTTTATTTAAATGGACTACCGAAACAGTAATCACAGAACCAACAAGACGCAGCAGAAAAACCTAGAAAATCCAAGAAAAATCATAAAAAAAGGAAAAACCCTGCACTGCAGGACACAAAAAAAGGCTCTTTTAGGAGCCACCAAGTCTCTAACCAATAACAGTACTTTTTAAGTAGTATTTGACGACTACACTTCGTTGTGAAAATATGTTCGCATCAACATTCCTATTTCATAAACTGCAGACGATTGTTCTTACAGTTTTGCCGCAGAAAAGTTACGTTTAAAGTGTGCTTGCTTTTGTTTTTAGCGTATAGAAAAAGGAAACTTAAATTGATATAGAGTATGTTTATCATGGTTATACAAAGTACTGCGTGCTTATTGCGAAAAATTTGACAGCTTATATAAAACGAGGCGATTGTTACATTTGAAGCGCGGGTGCCCTCGTTTGTGATATTAGATTTCATAATGAATATTACATTTGTTTTGTGCAGCAAACGTAGTAAGAAAAGCAAGCGAAGAACATTTGCATTTAAAGTGCGCTTGCTTTTGTTTTTGGCGTATAGAGAAGGAACATTAAATTTCTATAGAGCACGCTTATCTTGGTTACATAAAGAAATACTACATTTGAATATTACATTTTTGGTGCTTGCTTATCTTGCCTTTACATTCGGTGCGTGCTTATATTAATTATAAACTTACTGACGATTGTTCTTACATTTGAAGCGCGCGTCTTTTGGTTTTTGACTTACAAGAACATCACATTTAGACACAAGCATAAAACTTAGAGCGTGCATACTGTGGTTTTTGGGTTGTTTTGAATTACAGAAGAAGGAAAATTACATATTACATTTGGAGTGTGCCTTTCTTGGTTTTTGCGCTTGTGTTGGTTTATGGTTTATAGAACGAGGAATATTACAGTTGGAGTGCGCCTCTCTTGCCGTGCGGATCGTACGGATCGAACGAACCGTATCGCATTGTGCCCTGATGTAATAATGAGATGCACGCTCCGTATGTCTACGGACTGTACGGATCGAACAAACCGTAACGCATTGTGCCCTGATGTAATAATGAGATGCACGCTCCGTATGTCTACGGACTGTACGGATCGAACGAACCGTAACGCATTGTGCCCTCATGTAATAATGAGATGCACGCTCCGTATGTCTTCGGACTGTACGGATCGAACGAACGGTAACGCACTGTGCCCTGATGTAATAATGAGATGCACGCTCTGTATGTCTTCGGACCGTACGGATCGAACGAACCGTAACGCATTGTGCACTCATGTAATAATGAGATGCACGCTCCGTATGTCCTCAGCATACGGACCGTGAGTACTACACCAACTACACCAACTACATATACTACATCAACTACAGTAACTACACCAACTACACTAACTACACCAACTACACTAACTACACCAACTACACATACTACCCCAACTACATATACTACACCAACTACAGTAACTACACCAACTACACTGATTATACCAACTACACTAACTACAGCAACTACACATACTACACCAACTACAGCAACTACACCAACTACATATACTACACCATCTACACTGACTATACCAACTACACTAACTACACCAACTACACATACTACACCAACTACAACAACAACAACAACAACAACACTTTATTTCACCCCATAATATACAAGGAATAACAATAGTACAGACGATGATAGGGGCGCTGGCTGCCCGAAATAACCTAAGAGTTAAAAATGCCAGGCAGCCAGTAAAAAGAAAAGATGTTTAAATGTTTAGGTCAGGGACACAAGAACAAAGAAAACAGAGAAACACACACAAATAGTTAAGTAAACTACCAGTATATAAAGAGACTAAAATTCATACATTGCAAAACAGTATTATTTCCATTTTAAAGTTACCCAGACTCACCGCCTCATTAACTGATTTTTTTAACTCGGAGATTGTCGAGTTAAGTGGAATGAGTTTGTCGTCTAAAATTTTGGTAAATTGGTCGCAATTTATAGCCGGCATACTGGTAGACACTCACAATATTAAACAGATATAATATATCACACGCTACAGAACACTAGACTCATATACTACACCAACTACACAAACTACACCAACTACATATACTACACCAACTACACTAACTACACCAACTACACTAACAACACTACCTACACCAACTACACATACTACACCAACTACACCAACTACACCAACTACACCAACTACACCAACTACACTAACTACACCAACTACAGCAACTGCACCAACTACATATACTACACCAACTACATATACTACACAAACTACAGTAACTACACCAACTACACATACTACACCAACTACAGCAACTACAGCAACTACACCAACTACATATACTACACCAACTACACTCACTATACCAACTACACTAACTACACCAACTACACATACTACACCAACTACACCAACTACATATACTACACCAACTACAGTAACTACGCGAACTACACTAACTACACCAGCTACACCAACTACCCCAACTACACATACTACACCAACTACATATACTACACCAACTACGTACACTAACTACACCAACTACAATAACTACACCAACTACACATACTACACCAACTACAGCAACTACACCAACTACACTAACTACACCAGCTTCAGCAAATACACCAACTACTCTAACTGCACCAACTACACCAAACATCAACTTTCTCATAGTGGGTAAAGTGGTCATGGAATGTCCCTATATTCGTGACGGCTATCATGAACCCATTACCCCTTTTTTACCCATTTTGGTCTGAAATCGGGTATGGTTTGGGGGAACTACGGGAGTGTATCAACGTTTGTCGAGTTTGTCGTCTAAAATTTTAGTAAATTGGTCGCAATTAATAGCCGGCATACTGGTAGACACTCACAATATTAAACAGATATAATATATCACACGCTACAGAACACTAGACTCATATACTACACCAACTACACAAACTACACCAACTACATATACTACACCAACTACACTAACTACACCAACTACATTAACTACACCAACAACACTACCTACACCAACTACACATACTACACCAACTACACCAACTACACCAACTACACTAACTACACCAACTACAGCAACTGCACCAACTACGTATACTACACCAACTACATATACTACACCAACTACGTACACTAACTACACCAACTACACTAACTACACCAACTACACATACTACACCAACTACAGCAACTACAGCAACTACACTAACTACACCAGCTTCAGCAAATACACCAACTACTCTAAATGCACCAACTACATCAAACATCAACTTTCTCATAGTGGGCAAAGTGGTCATGGAATGTCCCTATATTCGTGACGGCTATCATGAACCCATTACCCCTTTTTTACCCATTTTGGTCTGAAATCGGGTATGGTTTGGGGGAACTACGGAAGTGTATCAACGTTTTTATCGTTTCAGTTCCAAATAAGTAAGAAAGAAAGAGGAAAATGCGAATTCGAAATGGATTTGGAGAATTTTTTGTTTGCGCCCTAAGCTAAGTAATGATAACATAAGGGACTGTGCAATAATTATCAGGAGGGGGGGGGGGGCTGAGAAACTAGAGGGGGCATTACATAAAATTGCTGCCAAGATAAGGGGGCTCAAAGTCAAATCACTCATTTGACGGAGGGGGGCCTTAAGTTTTATTCGAAATGTAAATAAAATTAAGGTGACTCGACCCAGTTTTTTTGGGGGGGGTACCATCCTACTTTGAAGCTCTCTGGTATCCCTACCTTTACTTTTATCGTAAGTCTAACACATAGAATGGATAACATATAGATCAATCTACAATATAACATAAAATTTTTTGCGATCGGATTAAATGTCACGTGGTTATAATGCCACGCCCCTTTGAGGTCTGAGTCGAAAATCTGCTGTTGCCGGCATTTTTTCGTGAAAATCTCTCGGCTATACATAGTGCGCATTAGTGCCTTGCGCTGAACAGAGTTTCACCAAAATCGCAAAGACCCAATTCGAGAAATTCAGCGGTTTCCAAATTTAGGTCATAATTTATGCGAAAATGATAAGCAAACTTTACACGGATAATATATATTAGAATGCTGTATAATGACAGAATAGAAACAATAGACAACTCCCAAAGCACAAACTCAGCCAAAACGCTAAAAATGTTCAATGTTTACTCAAGTTTGGGCTTATAGAAGGTAATTTCACAGTTTTTCAATGACCATGAAATTCAGAGTCCGGGTAGTTAGTTAATCAATTGTGGCCCTGAAAAAATTTGAAGGAAAAAAAACTAGGAATTTTTAAGAAAATGCTTTTTTCGTGAGAAGGACTCTTAAAACCTGACAAACGTCAACAAATAGCGAAAACTATAATTTCTATATGTTTTCTTTGCTCGAAATCGCGCGCATTTACAAGGCCCTAAAGCGTTTTGCTGACTTGCAAGGACCCATCTGTTATAAGGATGCCCAAAATACAGAGATGAATCTCATAGTTTATTAGATATAATCCGTGTAAAGTTTGCTTATCATTTTCGCATAAATTATCACCTAAATTTGGAAACCGCTGAATTTCTCGAATTGGGTCTTTGCGATTTTGGTGAAACTCTGTTCAGCGCAAGGCACTAATGCGCACTACGTGTAGCCGAGAGATTTTCACGAAAAAATGCCGGCAACAGCAGATTTTCGACTCAGACCTCAAAGGGGCGTGGCATTATAACCACGTGACATTTACTCCGATCGCCAAAAATTTTATGTTATATTGTAGATTGATCTATATGTTATCCATTCTATGTGTTAGACTTACGATAAAAGTAAAGGTAGGGATACCAGAGAGCTTCAAAGTAGTATGGTACCCCCCTAAAAAAACTGGGTCGAGTCACCTTAAACGCAATAAAAGATTCTCAATACAGGCATCATGATAGACTGTAACAAATATCAATACGAACAGCTGTTAAACGATTATTGAAAATATTCCATCAAAATGAATAGCAAATTCACAACTGATCAATTTTAACCCGTCTTCTAATTAATTGAGCTGATCCTATGTAAAGCAAAAGTCATGAACTTGTTTTTCAGCTTCCCCCATAAAACAATGGGAATCAGACAGATCTCGTAGACAAGCTTTGTCGGTTTTTGATGTGAATAAAAGTAATGTTTCTTCATCGACTAAATCGATTTGCTGAATTCCATATATATCTGGCTCATAACAAAGTTCAACAGGCTCTCCTCCCAAGGATCTAAATATAATGCAAGCTCTTTTTCGTCTGTTATTTGAAGCGTTCAATCTCCTGTTCTTTGATTTTTTCTCTGCCCCTTTCTATTTCTGGTTTCAGAAGTTTTAGATTTTGAGCCAATGTGGTAAGCACCCCGGTACTTAGCAAATGCTTTGTCTAAATCTTCAATCAAGCGATCAACATCCTTCTCGATACTAGATGTTACATAATAACGTTTGTCATTATTGAAGCTGTGATGGCAGCTCAGTCCAGTTTTGAGTCAGTGTGGTAGGAGTTGGGGGAGGAGCGACGTTCAGGGTGACGACGTTATTTTAAAAATAATAGAGGGGGGTTTAGAACTATTTTTTTTTTGTTTTGGAGGGGGGTGCTGTCTACGTTTTTGCTAGATAACTCTAGTTTTTCAGCCCCCTCCCCCTCCTGATAATTATTGCACAGTCCCTAATTTCTGGTTAAAGGCCAGGTCTGAAAACGGGTATGGATTTTACAGGTCTGGGCTGAAAGTGGGTGTAGAAAATCAACGTTTTTGGTCTGAAATAGGGTCAGGATTTGAAGAGCTTGGTGGCACACCCCCACCAAGAATTCCCTAGAGTACCCCCGCGGGAAATCCAGCTAACTTAACCAGTAAACAGTGCTTTACTTTTAACAAATTTTTCAACTATTAGTAGCAATTGAAAATTCAAGTGTCAATTTATCAGTATATTCACAACTACTGTAAACTCTCGCTGCTACAACACAGCTAAATTACTGCTAGGCTGGCTTTGGATTTTCCTAGAATGTTTATCACGATACCGACAACCATTTCACTTCCCATGTGCTGCAGTGAGGATTTGCACGCATACAATTGAAAAAAACGCATGATGAAAGTAGTACAGTGGGGAAAAAATTGACCTTTTTTGAAGATGAAATCTCATTAGTGTCGAAGGGAACACTTTAACGCCGATGACGTCAGAGCATTATCTCATGGATAAAATGCGGGGGATTCTCACGTGCTACTTTTTAGGAGGTTTAACCTGTTGGACAGGTTTTTCTAGATCGATGAAGGTCTTGTTTTCGGATTTATTGACCAACACTAAGAAACGTATTCATTGGTTGATCTATATTATTGAAGGAATAAGCACTAAGGTGCCTGTGACTTGAAAATAACTGAGTCTTAACGTAGTTACGGTATGCAAGTTTTACTTCCTGCCGCTTTCATTGTGCAAAAAAATGGTTGCAGTTCCCGTTCAGTGATTCCTGGCCCGCAAATCGTTCATTTTTAATGAGAAGGAAGGCAAACTAGCTTATCTACCATGAAAAAGGTGTTTTTCTCCTCCCTTTTTTGCTTTTGCACATTTCTATTGCTTTCCTACAACCACCACCACCACCACCAGATTTCAATTGTTTCTCCTACTCCTCCACCTTGTTCTGTCGCACTTTGTAATAACACTTGTTACACTATGTAATAAAAAAGATGTCGCACTTTGTAATAACAGACCATCGCATCTTTGTAATAAAATAAACTGTCACACTTTGAATAAACTTGAAATGCATGAACGGAGGACAAGCAAACCCAATAATAAGTATCATCATCGACAACAACAACAATAATAATAATAATAATAATAATATAAAATAATAATAATAACATTCTGAACGGTTTTCAGCACCAATTTCTCAACTGAGGGCGGAGGAAAGTGTTCACATCAACTGCGACCTTCCGGCTTCAAGATCTTTGTAGAAAAGTACAACTCTCTCTATGTGGACGACCTTGAGACCATTTACATGAGATAGTGTCCGTAAAGCGAGAGTCCGTACGTAGTGATGGGATTTTGTATTGGAATTTAGCTGCTATCCGTATGATCGGGTTTTCCATTAAAGTAAGGTGTCCGTGACTGTATAAGCAAAATATTTTGAAAGTTTTACTAGTAGCACGGGAAGCGAAGAAATCCAGTTTCAGTCCCTGCGAGGATATGACCAGAGATATAACTAGAGTTTAGTGTTTATTGCCTTGAAAAAAGCGCTATACTAATATTTCGTAGAACCAAAAAACACAAAGTTAACATCGATTATAACACGGTGCCACAATTATTACCATAATTTATTATAACTGTTATTATCGCACTCTTGCATATCATTTGCCCACGTCATTGTGTCACAATGACTGCTAATTTGAAGAACTTTCGAAAGCGCTAGAACAAATCTTAAGTACAATGATATTAACAAAAGATCTCAGTTTCGAACGTTTATGCTCAAGTTCCATCTTCTTTGTAAGTTGTAGCAAGGCATTTTTCGTCTTTTGACGCACAAGTTAATTCTTTATCCCTAGCTAAATATTGAGGTGTCTGTGCCTAGAGCTTCGAAGTATGCTACTTGTTTCGCCAATTATACTACTTCGTGAGAAATTTCTGCAATTTGATTAGCTTCGAGCAGTGGTATTTCAGCTAAATTTGAAATACCTACATGTGAAAATTACAGACCTTTTTTCGGGTAGTAGTATGAACAAATAATAGCATGATTTGTACGTGATATTTGGCATAAATACCACTCGTGATATTTCAAAATTGTCTCAAATTTCACTCGCCTATCGCCTCGTGAAATTAAGTATAACAATTTTGAAATATCACTCGTGGTATTTATGCCAAATATCACTACAAATCATGCTATTACCTACACAAATGTCCATGATGATAAACAATCTTAGAGCTATATAACGCAGGACCAGCCAAACATTTGCCCTTTTTTAATTTGAGATTATTCGCCGTAATTCAAACACGACACCACTTGAAGACCCACCCCGCCACAAATACGTGGCGAAATCTGAAAAGCCAGCATATGGGTCACGAAAACGAGTATTAACTTTGCACAGTTGATTGTAAACTTGACATCTGTGGGTAGGCCACGAAGGGTTCCAGTTCCTTCTTAGCTTTAACAATGAATGACGTCATTTTTTAAGATAATAAATCATTGGGTTTTTGTTCTCCGTCATCCATTTCAAGTTTATTGCAAAGCGCGACAACTTATTTTACTACAAAGTGCGATGGTCTGTTATTACAAAGTGTGACTCGTGTTATTACAAAGTGCGACAGGTATTACAAAGTGCGACAATTTTATTACAAAGTGCCACTGAACACACCTACACATTACCGACCGTATATATCGAGCCCATATCGACATCTACCCCCTACCTTTCCTTACAGCGCAGTTACATTTGTCCGGGGTCCGTAGTCTAGGCGCCAAACATCCTGCATGCATATACAGTGCTACAGAAATGCTGTATGAAACCAGAGCAGCCTCTCTTTTCGCTCGTACTGGAGCCTGCGCAACGAGCTGCTTTCGCATGTTCGCATATCGCAGTTTCTCATAGATTTTCGAGCAACAAGAGAGACTGCTTGCCGTCTAGGCTTGGCTGTTTGGGAAGGAAAGAGATCTCAGTGACCAACTTCAATTTTCTCCTAAATATATATCAATACATCGTAAAGAGAAAAGGTTACTTGAAATAAAAAAACTGATCACCTACTTTGAGGAAAATGATTTGATCTTTTATCAAATCATCCCAAATCCTGAGTTCTCGAAGGAGATTTATAAAGATCAGTTTCGACATAGTTATTAGAGGAGACTGGTTATGAAAAGCGGCAAACATCAATGATAAAAACAACAGTGCTGCACTTTATGTTGGAAGTACCGTGAAAGTGCAAAATCCTTTCTTTTCTGTTGGCAAATTGTTACGGAATAAATTAATGCAACGTTTTTATTGGTCAATACAATCAAAATGATAGGAATTCTTTTGAACGTTGTGTACTTTCAGTTCCACAAAAACATATAACAAAGGAGTCTGACGGGTTTCATAACCATTCCACTCAATTAACTATGGTTTCGAGAATAATTCCATTTTCTTCTTTATTTTTTTTCGAGAAAACACGAATTTGATGCAGATACTAACAAAGCAGTTTGCTTTTTGGAGAAGATGTTGATGAAGAGGAAGAACGAAAGATGAAAGATCATGGCAAAGACATTTATAACAGTCATTTAAGTTGATTAGTCCAAACTACGTTCAGTGGAGGCATAATAAAATACCGTAAAATTCCGAAAATAAGCCCCGGGGCTTATATTTTTCAAAGGCCCTTTTTGAGGGGCTTATTTTTGGAGGGGCTTATATTCGGAGGGGCTTATCTACGGAGGGAAATTTGCGTTTCAAAATCGATTGGGCTAGCCTTGAGCTGGAAGGAAATTTACCGTTTTGGCTTTGTTTTACTTTGTATTTGAGGGCAATTTTCTAAGTACAAGCCCCCGCGGGGCTTATATTTGGAGGGGCGATTTAACGGAGGGTTTTTTGCGTTACCAGTTTGGGAGGCTTATATTTGGAGGGGCTTATTTTTGGAATTTTAGGGTAATTGTCATAATTGATTTGTTTCAGAATAAGTAAGAGAGCTAAGCTTCTGTAATATTGTAACATCAAGATTTAACTTGGTCGTCTGTGATAACCTTTAAAGTGTATAAAATGCCCTGTCTTCGCTTTCCAAACTCACAGGCCGAGAAAAAAGTAGAGCATAATCCCATCTCGATGTTTTATTGAAAGATACTTTCTTTGAACCAGTCTAGGCTTAACTGTCTGTTTTTTCTTAATTTATAATATTGTCAGTAAAGTTGTAATGAATATTTCTATTGTTGAGAAGTCACAAAATGAAAATAATGCTTAAAAAGATTATCGTGGATTATTGTGCGTACCTCTGGAAAAATCTGGGCTACGCCCCTGAATATGACTTCTAATTCTCAAGAGGAAACCACAACAAAAAACAAACCAAAAATTGTACAAAACACAATGACCAATTCTTGTCCACAGTCACATGATGACTGAAGATTTATGGCGCTGTGGCTGACTGGAGGAAGACCATTTAAGAAAGACTAAGTAGAAAGGGTAAGGAAACATGCAGCCGGAATAGGAGACAAGATAGAGATGAATGGAGTAGGATGAAGTGTTCTAGAAGCAATAACACTGAGCTCTCAGAGCAGGTGGTATGAGTACTGTATCCTTTATAAATGGCGATTCATTATCAGCCCCAGAACTCCAATCAATTTCACAATTCGTGCAAACATTGTTCGTCGTGTTTCTCCAGTGTAAAGTTGACTCCCTTCAGGGGCACCCAACAACGGTTTCCTCCTAAATGCATTGAAAAAACTCTTTAGGCTATTCAGAGTACTCTTAAACTTTTAAAAATCCATTCTAATCGGCGCTATAAAATTTATATCTGTTCGGTCTTCCTAGGGCAACTTGAGTCTTTTCGAAATTACCAGGGCTTCAGTATTATTTTCCCGAAAATAAAAAATGCAATTTAAAGTATTACGAAATTGAGAATTTTTCTGATCCCTCTTTCCATCGCATTTTCGAATCCGAAAATTTTAGGTTTCCTTTTTCTGCGAAAAATAGCTTAATCTGGGGAGAAAAATGCGAAAAATTAAACTTGAGAAAATCGTAGGGAATTTAATAGATCGTTTTCACTGTCACGCAACAAAAAAATAAATTGGAAACCGTCCTGTGGAAGAAGCCAAGAAAATGAAATGTTATAGAGGACTAATTCTTAAATAATTTGTCCAAGTCTCAGGTCTTTGTCACCCACAGTTTCTGAGTTATTTGCTGAAACGTTTCACGCACCTTTGTAGAGCTTTGTATGGAGACGCCATACTGGTGCACCGTTTTGGTGCACCAATATGGCCGCCGGAAATCAACAAAAACATCTGGAGTTTACTTTTTCTACAAAAGCTCTTTATTTTCACTCGAGAACTAGCATACGTGCACATAAACATATCTTCTAATACATGAAATGGTTATACCGCTAAAAATCAAGAGGGCGAGACTTTTTTCAACGAGACAGCATTCCTATTTTGGTGTCACGCACTGTGAAAACTCCGGAAGTTCAAATTGTTGTATTTTCGAAATGAAACATGCTACGGGAATGGAAATTTGTACAAAGATTATCTTTTTGTTTATTTTCAACCTGGTGTAAATAAGAATTCGTTAAACCTCGCTATTTTGACTTTACAATTTGATGACGTCACTGTGAAAACCATATATAGATAAGCTTCGAAAATTGTACCCGAACGGAACGGTCATCTAGAAATTCTTAGCCATCCCCAAGGTACAGAAATTTCTAGGCAATTTTTGCTTCTCCGAACAGATATTTACAGAAAGCTGTCGTTGGGTGCCCCTGTCCCTTGCACGAGAAAATAAGACTTGTTTTTACTTGTCGAGGAACATTAATTGCATCGGATGGAGATCATGGGGAAAAAGGACATGCACCAAAATATAAGGCGCCACCTAGGAGTTGACTTGTGTTTTCGTGACGTCTACTTTTTAAGGGGCAGTTTTCGAAGAGAGAAGGTGCACCCTTCTTCCCCCGCAACCGCCCTACCTGTCTTCGCTGAGTAAGTTTGAGATTTAGACGCATGCAAATAACGGAACGCTTTAAGCCTGTCTCTCTTGATTTTGGTTTTGGGTATGGTGACCGGTCGTTTTCATGTAAAGGAGTTAATAATAATAATAATAATAATATTAAACATATTTAACCAAAGTAAACCCGTCAGCTATAAATGGGCGCCCTGGGCAACTAAAAAATGAACAATTAAAGGAAAAATAACTATAACAGAACAACTATCAAAAAATGTAAAAACTGATGTACAATGTCGATGGATAAAAACTAAGAATTATATATCTACGTAAATTGAGACGCCAAAAAAACTCCAAAATATTAACAAGAACTCTAAAAAATAATATCATTGAGAAGTGTTTTAAAAATCACTATGGAGTCAACTTCCTTCAGATGGGGTGGCAAATCATTAAAAGCCTGAGCTCCAGTATAAAACTAAGCTGTTCCGTGTATAGATGGCTTTCACAGTGACGTCATCAAATTGTAAAGTCAAAATAGCGAGGTTTTACGAATTCTTATTTACACTAGGATGAAGATAAACAAAAAGTTAATCTTTGTACAAGTTTTCAGTCCCGTAGCGTGTTTCATTTCGAAAATACAGCAATTTGAACTTCCGAGTTTTCGGAGTGCGTGACACCAAAATGGGAATGCTGTCTCGTTGAAAAAAGTCTCTCCTCTTGATTTTCAGCAGTATAACCATTTCAAGTATTAGAAGATATGTTTATGCCCACGTAGGCTAGTTCTCGAGTGAAAAGAAGGAGCTTTTATAGAAAAAGTGTACTCCAGATGTTTTTGTTGATTTTCGGCGGCCATATTGGTGCACCAAAACTGTGCACCAATATGGCGTCTCCATACAAAGCTCTACAGAGATGCGCGAAACGTTTAGGCAAATAACTCAGAAACTGTGGGCCAAAAAGACCTGAGACTTGGACAAATTGTTTAAAAATTAGTCTTTTATAACATATCATTTTCTTGGCTTCTTTCACTGGACGGTTTCCAATTTATTGTTTTGTTGCGTGACAGTGAAAACGATCTTAACCTCGATAACTCGAACCCGGATAACTAGTGCTCGAGAACTCGAACTAAATTTCCTTTCCCTTGATCAAACTTTCACTGAAAGTTTCCCCGATAACTCGAATTCCCCGCTAACTCGAACTGTTTTTCGTTTCCCTGTAGAGTTCAAGTTCCGGGTTCTAGTTTACATACATACAAAGCGAAATTTACGCAAAATGCATAAATTAGTAGGTGACGTCACCAGACGTCATAAAACGCTCGGAATTCGAACGTCTCTCTTCCCCGCGACCCCCACAGGTTAGGAAGTGGAGACGCATGACATTTCAGACTACAAAATAACTCGCATGAAGACATGCAGCCGATGAAGTAATTGACCTTTGTTATTTGAAACGAATCGTCTGTAAAGAATAGTATATGAGATATTATACTTAGTAAATATCCTCAAAAAGAGGCGTAACGGTGTGTAGACCTTCACTTCGCGGCCAATCGACAAAGAAGCTACAATCTTTCACTTTGAAATCGTTAATCGAAGTTACGCCTCTTACTATTTACCCTTTCGTGCGTTCTTTCTACAACATGTCAGCTTAAAGTATTATGGTCGACAGATGAATCACACATAGCCTCTACCTTTCGAAAGTGAAAGCAAATTTTCTTTGTATCATCACAAATGTACACATTGCAAAGTGTTAAGTAATCGGTATAAATAAGTAATTGGCCAATTGCAAAGCGAGAGAGAAACTTTGCCAATCAGAATCGGAGAAAGAGATCCCTGCAAAACTGCGGGATATCAGATCAAGGTACGGGCAGGTTACGGACTCACCTCTCCACTTCCGCTTTGAAATTTACATTCAAGTTATTCACTGGGAATTTCTAATCACGTTAAGATAAGATTCCTACTGAAAAGCTGTAGCAAAAGTGGTAAACAATTAAATGAAGAACTATTTCTTAAGCTAAACATAAAACAGAAGGCCTTGCTTTCTAGGACGACTTCCGTAACTACTTTGACAGCAATCGCGTGCTCAAGGGTTGGTTATTGACTAATTTGCGTCCAGTTACATGTTAGAAATGGGTTAAACATAAAATGCATAGAGCAGTGTATAACATACCAGCTTGTGTGTTAAGTCAAGATCAGTGAGGTTTCCATCAATGGTTTCGTTTGTTGGGCGCGATTAGCTTGTACTCAGTAAGTGTTGATCGACCAGAAAATAACAACTGCAGGAGAATCTCAGTAAGATAATGCAAGTGGCACGCAGGGTATCAGGTTGCGAGTACTAGTCTCCGTGCGGCCGCGAAAAGCCCAATCCTCTACGACGTTCGTGCTCGGCTAGCAAACGTCAACCATCCACAAGCGCACAATTTTCACTTACGACATCCACACGTGTCGTACGGATGTCGTGGGTCTAATTTTTGCGTTCGACGAAGGAAGAACGCTTTCTAATCTCCTGGGTTGCCTGTTATCGCGTAGGTATCCTGTGCACGCAAGCGAAAGCTGACCCGTGTTTTTTCGTTCCATGGTTCACCTTTTCGGCGCCATTTTGAATGACGTCACAATTTCGTTGCGCAAAGCATTCTGCCTCGTGGTTCAAGCTTTATTTACGTCATAAGCAATTGTCATATGGCAATCACGTGCATCACTGGTTCCATCAAGGTCAACTACATTACACGGGAATATTTGAGTTCGGCAAAAGAATGAACGTTGGAGTTGTTTTCTAAGCGGGTTTTATCACTGAGCTGATGATTCTGCTAAACTTTTCGGTCAATGCCGTTCAAATCGAGCTGGAACTTCGTAGAAACACACAAATAAAGACCAGGTAACATTTGTGCCGTGAGAAGTTTACCCGTGCGTTTGAGTCTATTTACTTATTTGTAGTTTAACCTCTTTCATGCACGAAAAAGTAAGCTTGAGCGTATCAGTGCAGGTTGTTACAACTGTAATGCTTTATTCACGTCTGATATCTCTACGCGGATAATTTTGCATGATAAGTATCTCGCTCGCTGAAGCAAGCTAAGTTTAAAACATGTTGAACTGACCTACATGAACTTAAAATAATCATGAGATGAAAAGTTTGCACAATGGCAAAAGATTCTGTCCGGTTCTCTGACATCAGTAATCTAGCAGAAACCTAATATGTTTCCGTCGCTCCTATGATCATTGTTTTCACTTCAAGTTGTGTCACGCAAGAAGCCAAGACTTTTAACCTTCAAGGCTACCATTTTTTCGAAGTTTGTAGTGACATGTTTATCTTTTTAACAACAAAGAACTTTTTACGATCTACTTTACATTTTTATCGACCATGCTTGAGGGAGAGTAAGACATTTTAAGAGTAGAGAGTTAATGAGTGAGATATTTTGAAGCCGTATACGCGAAGAACATTTTTTACGAAAAGAATGTCTACCTTTTAATTCATGATCTCTTCCATGATTTTGAAATCATGCTTGACGACACAAAAGCTAATCTGGAGCTAAGAAAACTCGAACGCACTTATTGATCTATGATTACTACTAGTTAATACACGACACGATCTGACGTGAAGTCATGGCGTATGCTAGTCTCGTACGATAGTCGTCAGCAAAAATCGTACCGTCTAAATCGTCGTTAGTCAATCGTGCTAGTCTTATCTTCCTTCAAACTCTCCTTTGACTTCTTCTGCCTTGCCCCTTAGGCACCTAACAACTTTTATTATCCACTGATATGTTTTTCAACTCATCCCTCCTCCTCTATTGATGTTTCTCTCTTTTACCAGTGTGATAAGTCGCCCAGAGGGTCCCAAGAGGTTCACTGTTCCCTAGCTATTGTACTGCATCCAATCATTATGGCCTATTCTGTAAGTCAGGTCCCCACTCTCCTGACTCTCTCTGCTGGGGTCGGTGTAAAGGTGCTCCACGTCCGCATTTTGCTTTCTCAAAGCATACCTACCACCGGGTTAGCCTATCCCCGCCTCCGATACTCTTAAAGCCCGACACCCAGGTTACTATCCACTGACTATCGCGTAAGTGAGTTAAGCATTCAGAAGGTGACAAATGACGCAATGCTCCAACTTCATGTCCAGGGTCCCCTTCGTAGGAAAAACGTCCGGAACTACAGTCTTCGAAAAAATTGACGGAAAATTATGACCCCCTTTCCCTCTCTTGTGTGTGCTTTAACAACAAAAATAGTCTTTATTTCCCTTATTGAGTTTTACAAGAGTGCACTGTGCTGGCCCGCAGGTAACTAGAGCTTATCTTGGCGGGCCAGTCAATTTAAGTGTAGGAAATATTTAATTTTCATTCTTTCATCCTTGCTTTCGGAGGGATGGGATCAAGTGTGTGAGATTACAACATTGCGTGACAAGTAAGATGGACACTCAATTATCGTGGTAGTGATCGGAATGTATATCATTAAGGGATCAATTTCAATACCTTGTTTTTAAGCATGTTATTTTTTTTAGTTAGTTGGGTTTAGATTTCGTGTGTACCTTTGGCAGTGAACTTTTCCTATTTGGAATAAACCCTTGAAACTGTGAAATCGTGAAGTTTCTGCGTTAGCATTCACGACACAAGACATCAAGATCCCACCTCCTTAATTCAAGACAGGAGAATGGTGTGCTGAGGTCTTCGTGGGCTTCATCCTTGATTTTAGAGAGAAGAGGTTTTTCAATTTGATTCTTTCCAAGTTTGAGGGTCAACGGAAATGAAGATGTTTATGATATGGATAAGCACAGCACAGAACAAACATTTCCCAATAAAACACGAAGTTCACCCTGGGATTTTGGTTTAAATCGCG